TCAAAATTTTGATTAAACTTAACAAATAATAACGAATATGCTGCCACGTTTGTAAGAAAATTTCTTTTTGTGTCAGAGCACACTGAGACTATTTTCAAATAAATAAAGAAAACTCAGAAAATCGGGACAAAATCGGTACAATTTTACATCCCGACTTTTAAAAATATTCAGCGGGACAATTTTCTCAAAATCGGTACTGTCCCACCAAAATCGGTACGTATGTTCTCTGTGTATATGTATGCACTAATCTCCTTCGCTGCTATGAGCTCATATTTCCACTTGAGATATCTGCAAGTATTGCAAGGTTTGCCGAGAGTGCGTAATCTTCTTCTACACTCCCGCTGTTCAACAGCATGAAAGAATCTTCTCGTTCAAATGGGGTCATTGATATTCTTCTCTTTCTAATTCGTCACACTTCTTCGGGATATACCGATGACCCGTTGGTATGCCTAGGATATATATGGCGCTTAAACAATTTTGCGCTTCTTTGTATGCATACTTTAAGAACGGGGCTTTAATAGGTCATGTAAAAAGCAAATTTTTAGAGTGGTATATAAATATCTGGATTCAAACGCCATCTATGTTTTGGGTCCATTTTTTTTTTGCGAAGCGCTTCTTATCATAAAGTTTCTACCCATTAGACCAGGTCGTACGAAAACAAAACTGATTCTCTAGATATCTTGACACCAGCGCCATCTGTTGGCACCATTTTGGCAAAGTATTTTTTATGCTGCAGCGCATCCGAGCTCGTTCGGGCTAAAGAAATAAAAATATTAAACAGCAAGAAAGATTTTCAGTTTATCATAAATTAAAGGAGACATACTATATTTTTTCTACTTAATTAAGGGCCTCCTTATCAGTTAGGAATTCGAAGATATTAAATGAAGAATTTCACCGCTATTGAATGTATCCTTGTACCAACTCCTTATATTTACCTCACTATAAGCGTCTAGCTTATTTTTTGTCTTCACACTAAATTTGTGAAGTCTAGTGACTTATCGTTCCTAAGTTATAGCCAGTGTAGAAGTCATGCGACTTACAGTTTCAAAGTTATAGCTGAATAAAAATGCCCCATAGAGAGTTGTCAGGCCTATGTTATGTCCGAGGTGACTATCTAGATACCAGTTAAAGTCCTTTCTACAGTTTTCTTATAGTATTATTTTATTTTATTTTATTTTATGTTATTTCATTTATTTTATTTTATTTTACTATATTGTAGTATAGATATATTATAGACCACAAATGGCAGTTTGTTGAAGCTCGTTTATCATTTCACATGTAATCACATTGTAGCCAGGCGTGAGTATCATAAAAAATGGTACATATTAATTAAATATTTATTTTTAAACCGAAGCCGATTTGTGGTAATTCTACGAGTATTTGAAATAGAAGCGTCATCATTGGGTTTAAAGACTTCTAGAAGATGACAGGCGAAAGCGTTTACTTTATCCTAATCATTCTTCGAACAGTTGCCATTATCTTCATATGCTTTATTGTACCCCAAAGGTCAGCCTGTTTCGGAGCAGACAAGATTAATGATCACAATGTATTTTCAAAGACATCAGTATTGAAAGGAATAACACTTTTCAAATAGCAAAGAAGCGCTACATATTCTCTTAGCGAGCTAATTAAGTCATTTGTAGAGTTTCAAATACAAATTAATCAATGGCAAGAAAATAACGTACAGCTCAAACGTTATCGACAGCTTAACCGCACAAAATCACCCACATACACATGCACATTCAAGTATTCATAATCGAGTAAAGAAATTCCCATCTAAAGATTCTTTTTATTTTATATTTGAATTACACTTTTTATTTCCGGCATTCCACCAGTGGAAGCGATTTAAATTAAATCCCAAATTACATTATATGTTTGTGCAAATGTGTAAGCGATTACTGCTATTCACTGCAATTCAAGCGAATTGAATGTCGATTTAAAAAAAAAAATGTTTAAAATTTATTTTGTTCATATTGAATTTCCTGGCTCATTTAACATGATGGCAAGCAACGTGTAGATGGAATTCACCGCACAATTGCAATGAGAAAATTTTTACAACAAAGCAAAGACGAAGAGACATCTGGACGGCAGAATGGTTAGTAGAGGTTTGGCCAACATACAGAGCAAACGACAGACAGCGAGAGACCAAAAACTTTTACTCAGATAGCATAATATATTATTGAGATCTGTCAATGTTGCTTACAGTAATCACTAAGGCGCTATTGAAAAATCGGACGAGACTGGAAAAGCAATAGAAAGTAAGTGTCGCAATGAGCAAACGACGTAAATTTATTAGCATTTACAAACACTTACATACCCAGTGGGAAAATGGGAATGCATTACCTTCTTCTACCAAGAAAAGATTAACAACTAATGTTTAACGAAAATATGCATCGCAAAGTAAGCGCGCGGATTATGTGTAGCGTTGAAGCCACAAACAAAACAAAAAGTTTGAAAACTAACTCAAGTATGTTGTTTGTTCACGTCAGGGGCGCACCCAGGAATTTAGTTTTTTTGGCGGAAGGGGGTTTATACTTCTAAAGATATATTATCAAAAAATATAAAAAATGTTAAAAAAGAGTTTTAATGTTCATTTTCCTCGATTTCTGGTTTCTGGTTTTCGGTGGAGATGGTAGTTTTCGGTTACCGATAAAATTAACTGAATTCGTATTTTTACTATTTTCGCAACTGCACTTTTAAAAGCTCTCAAGAAAAACGAAAAATTCATATAAAATGACGCACAAGCAATGGGAAAGAAACTTTCTTGTATTCAAATTGCTTAAATCAGTTTGCAGCTCTCATGGAGAAATGCTCTTATATTTGTTTCTCCAAGAAAATTTACTGCACTTACATACATACTTCTTCAACCAACAGCAATAATAAAAAAATATTTCTTGTGATTTTTCTTGAAAGCTGGATTCTAAGTTTTAAAATACAGTTTGAATTTGAGGTTATTAGCTTGAGGGGGCAGGGAGAGAGAGAAAAATATAAATTTTCAAGAATTATATACCATTCCTACGAAAAATTTTATTTTTCCCATATAAAAATACATGGAAAACTTTGAGCGACCTCTAAATACTTTTTTATTTCCAAATAAAAAAAATAGGGGCGTACTTTTTTCGATATAGAGCAATCCTAGGGAGTGAGAGTATTAAAATTCCGACTTTACTGTTTTTGGACAACCCTAGTATACATGTACATGTATGTTAAAAAAGAAAAAATTCAAAAAATTCGCTGAGTTTTAACAAATCTTCATCAAAATTTTAAACTGTTAGTTTTAATAAAATTTTGTTTAGATTTGTTTGAGTATTCAGCTTTGTAACCTTTTACATGGCTTACCGTTGATTTTTTGGCAACATTTTTTCGCGCATTTTCTATCATTAAAAAATATGTTGGACAATTTTTTTGTCAGGAGAAAATGAGCAACACCTTCCATAAAAAAAAAATGCCAAAAATTCACGGTAAGTCCTAGATACTTAAAGCTTGTACTTTGTTATACTTAAATTTAATGGACTACATACTCAGAATGTTCTAGGAAATCAAACCAAAAGTTAGTGCTAGTTCACCGCCACCATGTGGTTAATGGTAGTGCATTTCAAATTCCACTACCACTATATGCTCAGTGCATTAAAAATTTAGTGCAGCGTGCCCAGCAGTGCCGGGAATGATACTCGTTTATCTTGCCTTTCTTTTTCATACTTTAAATGTGCAAAGAAAACAAAAAGGGAGGAAAATACCATTCCAGAGATACCTCATAAGTCTAAATCGGTAAAGTTTTTGCTGAGTTATTCAAGTTTTTCTGAAACCAATCTTTGAAAAAAGTTTAAAAACAGCAGCAAAAATCTCATTATTATAATTCCGATTTAAAAAAAAAAAATAATAATTATATCTTTATGCAAATTTTTTAAGCTTAAACGGTTTTGTCATCTAAGGCGATTTTTTTAATTCTATAAAAAAACTATTTAAATTCACAAAAATCTCCAATTTCGGAGGTATTTTCAAATCGGTCCCGCCCATCTAAATCTTAATAATTTTCAGAAATATTTTGGTGCAAATCTTAAAATATAATAGATTTTATAATTCCAGTGGAAAAGCAATAGATACCGATTTTCTTGTATGGGGAGTGATGCAGTCTAATGTACCTAAATACAATATCACTGAAAATAATTCCTAGTTATCAGTAAAAATTTTAGGAAATTGTGATTCAAATACGAGGATACCTGTAAGTAAAATCCAACCAAAAATTTAACAAGTAACTATTACATCATTTTAGATCAGAATTTATGCCTGGTTCTCTGTAAACCATGAATCTTATTACACTTAAAAACTTCTACACCTAAAGGCCAACTTTTTAAACGTAAAACCTAAAGTGAAACACAGAAATACCTGTTACAATTAATTAAGCTTGAAATTCAGAACCTCATTCATTTTATTAATCAGCAACAAGTCGGGTAATTGGTTAATTAAGTTCACACTCATGCCGCATATTTGCGAAACTTTTCTGACAAAAAATAAATCGTTTAATTAACCCTTTACTAAGTAGTTAAACTACATTAATCTGCACAAGCTACATGAGCGAACGTCGTGCCGGTACATGTGTATATGTATGTATATTAACATAATACATAAAGTTACATATAACTATGAGTGCAGTTGTATGATATTTCTTCTTAGTTATCACAATATTTCACAATATCACTCTTTCTGTGCGAAATTAAGGAGGACTCCATATCATACTGTTTAAACCAAAAACCTTAAGAAAAGAAACAACGAAACTAGTAAAATTTCAACTGTTATTTGGAATTTCGCACAGTAGTAGGTTGACCTAATGTCCATATGTAGAAATTTGTGTACATACATACATACATATGTACGATATACACAGGAACTCCAACGCGATTTAATTAAAAACTATTTTTATCTTACTCTTGCCTCTGAGTATCCTTTTTGCCGCAAATGACATACTTAACTAAAATATTTGCTTTTCTTATTTTCCGCAGAAAAAAGGCGATGGTCAGCATGGAAGGTCAGTTTTTAGTGCGACAAACATATGATGATGAAATCACATACAATCTCATCGGTGCTGCGGTTGAAATATTAAGTGAGTACAGAAGTTTTGTGGCAGTTAAGCACGAAAAGTGATACAAACTTGTAATATATTTACATAAGTACATTCACATATCGCTCATTTAGATTGAATACTGAAATAACTCGAAAACCCCAAATTTCGAGTACAACTACTTTAAAGTTTTGCTATGGAATTTTTGCAAAACATAGATGAACTGGTCATTTAAGCATACATATTTAACTCGATTTTGTATTGTTTCGAAATGTGACAATATCAAAATAAATTAGCGTTATGTACAGATACTTACAAGCATATATACACACACATCTATAGGCAGGTACATGCTTTACAATTTCTTATATAAATATCTGTTTTTGTATACAAGCTTTCGAGCACTATTTTCTACTCTGTGTATATATGAGAGGACATTGTGGCAATTCATTATATTTTTGTGTCTCTTATCACTGCTCTTTTATCATCCTGCTGTTATGGTTACTTTCAGATATACCAGCGGATGATATATTGGAACTTTTTGGAAAAACCTTCTTTGAATTCTGTCAAGATTCAGGTTATGATAAAATTCTGCAAGTGCTTGGTGCCACACCGCGCGATTTTCTACAGGTGAGTAAAAGCAATGGAGTGTGCGTGCGTATAATGTGTTTTATCAATTTTGTTTTCCCCCAACTTTATTGTTACAGATGAGTTGTGGCAATCATTAATTTCATTTTCTAACTTTGTATTTTCTTTTGCGGTTGTTTCTACGTTGGCTTTAGTGTGCGAGCTGAAATGGAAAAGTATGCCAAAGAATTTTAAGAAATTAAGGCTAGACAATACCAATTTAATTAATCGACTGTTATTGACTACTTTATTAACCAGATAAAAAAGTGGAAGATTTTTCCTAAAATACGGGCGCAGCACCTTAACCCGAATTTCTACTAAGTAGACTTTAACCTCAATTTACCACTATATTCAACAAATTTTATTGAGCTTGAGGCCGTTTTTAATGAAAAACTTAGTGTGGAAAAGCAACAATAGTTTGAAAAAATTGTAGAAGTGATAGCTATTTCGGAAATCACCACATTTCCTCATCAGACATCTTTCGGTAGGATTCGAACCGACGATCCCACCGACTCAGACAGTTGCCCACGCGCTGTGCTAAGTTCACCTTGCGAATTTGCCACGAAATTTAAATGACTTTGAGAACATTTTCGGAATCTGAATTTTTACTGTAACGCCTGCTGTTAGCTTACGACAAATGGATTATCCAGGGTCCACTAGATGGAGGTTGAAGGGTCATATTTGCACCCACTTTTTACTTTTTTTAATTCTTAGATTTTTTATAATTTTTTTATTGTTTTTATTAATTTTCTGTGTATATCTTTAAGTATTTTATAATTCTTTTTCTTTGCTTGAAATTCCACAGCGGGGAGTTCGTTTCCTGATTCCTCTTCATTTTCAGATTTGGAAGAACAACGGTAATCTCAATCAACTCCATTAGTCTCCTTGGGGGTTGGAAGTTCAAGTAAAGCTGTGCCTTCTGGTGACAATGTGCGGCGCTTTTGATCCAAAATTTTTTGTTTACATTCTTGATTGAAATTGAGGGATCTGTGTCAAAATCTCTTTTATATTCGTCCACCATAAGGCATCCGCCATTTTAAATTTTCTAAAATTAACTTCAGATTTGTTATAATTGTTAAAATATAAGTATATTCGCCAAAATTTATAACCTGCGGGATCATAGCGCATCAGTGAGATTTCTTCAGTGTGTAAACCCAGGCTCCGTATTAGATTTAGCCAGCACTCAGGTTCGGAGAACTCAACATTGTATATACTGTGGCATTGAAAAGTCATTGCAGTCGGCATCACTTCACACTGTCTCATACCAGCGCCCACTTCTATTAAGCCTACAGTTGGTCTTAATGGCCTCTCTGCGGTAAATCCTGTGGGTTTAGCAGTGCTTCCGGAGCCGCCACAGATGGTGTGGAGAGAGAGTGTGCGCTTTACTTGAAGATTGGTGAGCAAATATTGATTGGTGGTCTGCTTCACCATACCGCAGATGCATACCTGATAATGGATGTTATCATAAAGATGTAAATCCATGGCAATCCTATAGGCGACCCCACCTTTTATCAAAACTTGTCAACATACATTACTACAATGATTTTAATGCTTTGGGGTGTTTTGTACAACGGAGACTTACATTAAACTTTACTATGTAGAACAACACCTAAATAATTTACTTCGGGTGCAAATTGGAAGTCTAATATTCCCAGTTTTGATTTTTTTTTTCGAGTAACTGCCTCTTCTGTTTTTAGAGTACTATGTCACATTTAAGTACTTGCTGGCAATTTCTGATTTTATTCTGACTCCAAAAATACTAATCTTAAACATCTTAAACTTGATTGTTCCAAAGCAATATCTCGTACACGCCACAAGCCATACCGTGTATAAGGTAGACCTAAAATATCATAAAAGATTCAAAACTTTTAAACTCACTAAATATAAGCTTATATGCTTGTTAATTAGTTTTAACTTTATAGAGTAGACTGTCATTAAGTGGGGGTATTCATAATAAAAACTTTTCCGTTCCACCACTTGGAATCCCATTTCCGAAACAAGGCCGATTTTCAAAGAAAAATCAACACATTTTTAGATTCTGCTTCAAGAAAGGCAAGGTTAAAAAAATTCTTTGTTTTTCATGTGTGCGAACAATCGCGAGAAAAATTCTATCAAATTCTGGCCCACCAATTGTACGCTCTTTTAAAGTATTGGGGCGGAAAGGTTCAGTTTACAGCGGCTCCGCTGGCTTGGCCATGTCGTTCGAATGGATACCGACGCTCCAACTCTGAAAGTATTTAACTCGGAACCTGCTGGAGGTAGCAAGGCAGTGGGGGCCCTGCGATGAAAAGATCATGTGGAGAAGGACTTGGCTTCACTTGGCGTTTCCAATTGGCGTCAGTTGGCACTGAATAGAAACGACTGGCGTGCTTTGCTGAGCTCGGCCAAAGTCGCTTAGACGGTTACAGCGCAGATGTGTTCTAACACCACAAAGTAGTTTTTGTGAAAATTTAAGATAGGGGTTATTGAATATAAGCTCTCGATATGGTTAATAATGTCTCCATGATGGATACGTTCAATGAATTCGCTTCATACAATACACTCGATAGGAACTTATATACCGTTTCTTATATGGCCACATTTAAACCCCGATCGTCAGCTACAGCAGTTTTGTTATTTTTCAGCGACATAATTGTTATTCGTATATCCTCATAATCGGTAGGCGGTACATTCACGCCGCTGCCATCGGCTGGGGTTTTGGGTTAAGCTTCTCTACTGGTTTCAATGTCGTTTAACCGAGTAGAAAAGTGTTCGCACCACAATTCCATCACTCGCTAGGCTACCGCATTTGTTCTTACAGGCCCTAAAATCTTTCGTAAGTCGCCAAACTTTGGGATAAATTGTTTTGAAGTTTTTCCTGGCAGCGACCATCACAGTCTCTTTCTACTCGCTTATTTCTTGCTTTTAATTTTTTTATGTCTCGCTTCCTTCTTCAGCTGCCTACACCGCTTCCCATAGCTGATCAGACTCATACTATTTTTGCAACTTATAAAATTAATTTTACTTTAATTTTTATTTCAAATTTCTTCTATCTATTCAACATTTTCTTCCTCATTTCCGTACACTCACCATCTCGTATCATCAATACCGCGTCCTTGCTATGGTATTCAATATTTTTGCACAACAAATTTATTACATAAATTATTGCTATAAAATTGCTGCTTCACAAGGCTTTTAGCCTGTAGAGAAAATCAATAACCCTCCAGCCTGATGCAGCAATGCCACCTAGGCAGGTGTGTATTCATAACTTCAACGGAGGCGCACCAGCATACTTTTATAGTAAGAAAGTCAGCCGACCGCACGTTCTCATTGTAAATGGAAATGATAGTTGTTTCTCATTTGAAGCCACGTATTTTCAACAACCTGCCACTGCTCATACCTGCCAATGTCACCAACAGAATTTTTTTACTAGTTTTCGAATATGTACACTTATACATAAAGTATGTACATATACTATGTGCCTACCGGCTTCCTTTCGTATTCGATTTATTTTAAATTTTTCTCACTCCTTCTTCAGTGACAACGTTCATCTGCTTGTGGCCATCTGCATATTCTTTATCAAGTGACAATTTTTAACTGTAAAAATACCAGTAAAAATACCAATACATATGTACATACATATCGCACAACGTATTCAAAAGGGTCACAACTCGAATTTACACGTTTGCCAGAAAATAAGAAAAACTATTTCTTAGCACATGATACTCATATGGGCAAGCGAGAATTTACTTTTACAAATTATAACAAGAATTTGCTTCGGCTTTTGCTGAAAAGTTAATAAAAAGTCTGTGTACATTTTTAGCGCATAATTTCGAAAATTCCAAATTTTGAGTTGTGCCTCTTTTGAAGACGCCGTGCGATGTGTACACAACATTTCCATCATTCTCCACATTTCGCCAATTCGTCAGCAGCTCGTTATTTCACTAACTCCAGCCGACAGGGAATCATCATCGCATATCGCCTTATCGCTCGACATTCAGGCATTGCTCAGTCACTCGGTTGTTCATCATAATGGAAAATCAAATTGAATTTTACTGCAATTTCACTGCTAGTGTCCGCTTATTATCTCGTCCGCTTGTGTTACACACTTCAATATTTTTTTCTTTCCTAGTATTTTATTTGTTTTAGACATAATTTTTTTACAAGCTTTTTGTGTTTCTTATCCGTTTTGTTTTCTCTTTTTTTTTAGAATTTGGACGCACTGCATGACCATTTGGGCACACTGTATCCGGGCATGAGAGCGCCTTCTTTTCGTTGTACGGAAAAAGATGGCTCGTTGCTGCTGCACTACTACTCAGAACGTCCTGGCTTGGAGCATATTGTTATTGGTATTGTAAAGGTAAGTGCATACATTAGAAAGAAAAGTATTTGAATACTACCTCACCCGGCGCTCTGCGCTACACACTACAAATTTTAAGATGCATTTCTTGCTCAATATATGAAAAAATATTTTAATATCAGATATATATATATGGCATTGCTTATGAATAGGTGAAATTTTTGCTACCCCAGCTGGTGCGTAAAATAATAAATTGATTATTTGCCATATATTTAATAGTTCATGCATAAAATAAGTGCTATGCAGGAGTAAATCCTATCCTTAATTTTTCCAAGGAATAATAATCACTTCGAGATTGAGTGCTTGGCAACTCTAGTGAATCAGAATACATGTAACAGCTTGGCCTTTCATTACAGCCTGTTTCTTAACGGGTCGTAAATCCAACATGCACCATTAAATAACTACTCGCTCGAGGCGACAAACTTGAAACTTTACAAAATTGCAAATTCCTTTCGATTGACGCCGCACCAGTTGAGACGACTTGAGGTTTATTTTGCGGTTCAATAATTCGAGAATTGTATCGGGGCTGCAAATTTCGGATGTATCCTCCTGACTTTCATCTTCACAATTTAGCATCATGGCAATATCGCTGTTTAAACACCGTTGTGTTCCAATTTGGAGAACCAATTCTTTTGGTTGTTTCAGAATTCGGAGAACCTGTTAGGACATCAGCGTTTTTCGATTTTAGTTTTTGTACTTAATTTTTAATCCTGTCTTCTGGGTAATAAATTGTTATTTTGTAGGAATCAAAATTTCGAAGAAAATTCTGTTTTGAAAGTCGTGGCTGCCAGCAGAATTAGTTTAATTATATTGTTATTTTGTTAAAAAGGTACCACGTTTTTTATAATAATTTCAATTATTGGAATCACGGACGATAAAGGTCTCAGATTTGCTTAATTGCCGCGTAACCTCTTGGAAAGGTTCGCCTGTAATGAACAGCTTACAATTAGTTTTTTCATTAGTTAGGTGAGCATGGCTTTTCCTAGTTTCAGGCAGTCACAATTAATTACTCACCGCTGTCGGTACCATAAGCCATCAAATCCGTTTTGTTGTTCCATTCCATGCGCTCAATGTGTTTTAATATATTTTTTTGGGGCACTTGCACAATATTCGCATTCACAAAAGCTCCGCATTGATTATTGCGAATGCGAAACCGAATGCGAATGTTAAAATGTATGTGGAAGTTCCGCGGTTGCGAATGCGAATGCGAATATTCGCAACAACCCTGGTACATACATATGTACGAACATTTCCTAAGCTCCGACTTTCAACAACACAATTTCTGGAAATCGTTTTAGGCTGTAGCATCTAAATTGCATGGTGTTGAAGTAGAAATTGAGATCGTCAAACGGAAAGGTGATCCCATCGATGAAGATGACCGCACAGATGTGTTTACACAACAACAACAACAACAACAGCAATCAAGTAGCACAATAACCACTGGAAATCTGCCTGAAGAAAATAACAATCACAATAGCACCAATAATAACGTCAGCAATAACAATAACAACGAAAGCGATGTGGATGATGATGACGATGTGGCTTTGCTATCATCAGCAACAGAAGTTAGCAATAAAAAGCAAGGTAAATTATTGGAACTGTAGCACTACACTTAGAATATATGTATGAATGTGTGTGAGTATTGATAGAGACCAATAGAAAGATATGTGTTCACATGTGAAATTTCCTCGTAAATGGCTCAAACTTTACTTATGTATGCATACATATACCCATCTTAATTGCATCACATGTAAAATTATGTAAATCTCCAGAAGAATTTCATGAGTAGCTCGTTCAAATTTGTTAAAACAAAATACCAAAATACCGTTATCAATTAATTTCTATTAGATTATATTGAAAACTCTAACAATCTACTCACTTCCTCTTTACTTCTCCCTTGCACAGCTCGTTGTCCTTTTAGCCGCACCAAATCTCATTCGGCCTCTTCGATGAGCAGCAGTAGCAAACAGGCGGACAGTTTTGATTGCGACCCAGATAAGCAGGAGCAGAAATGTTTACGTTTACTCAAAAACAAAAGTGACGACATCGAACGTTATGATCATGTTCAATTTCTGATACGTGAAATTGGTAACAGCAGCAGTAGTAACAATGCAACGGTGGGTGTTGGCAATACAACAACAACAACAACAACAACAGCAACTACATCGTTAGCCTCGTCGACAAGCGGTGATGAGCGTACGATAGCCATGTGCAAGGAGGAGGCCAAAGAGCCGCCGGATGAAGTCGATTTTCTGTGTGAAGGTGAGGAAGATTCAAAATGTACAAGTAGTAGCAAAGAAATAGAGCTGGCGGATGAAGTGTATTTTACAAGCGAAGGTGAGCAACGAATTGGCTACATACTAACAAATGTACTGGTAATTTGATTTGGAAAAGAAGAAAATTGAAGCGTTAAAATAACTGTTGCTTGCTGTGCAATTCTTTTTGTGAATTAAGTGTAATTTTAAAAATTCTAAATTCCAAATTATAAAAATCTATATATTATTATTGTTATAATTATTTTGCGCCTGTCAATATTTGTACAGAATTGCTAAACACTAATACATTGCTACTTTGTTGTATGTGGTATTGTATTGATGTGGCGCAAAATGTGCCGTCCAATGCTTGCTCCTCGTATTATTTAAATAGTGAAATATATGTAAAAATATTCATAATCTTTTTCGAGCTAAATTTTTGTGTTATTTTTCTATACTAATTCGTCCAAGCTTTCAGCAAAAACATAAATCACAGTTTCAAACTGTATACAAAACGTTTTTATATAACAAGCGCAATTTACAAAAATAGGCGTTGTTCTTTTCTTTACATTTTGTTGCTCACGGTCGCCCACATTTTATTTCATAAAAATCAATAATTATATGGAAAACAGTGTAAAAATTTGGTTACGGGAAAATACTCAACGGGTTAAAAACTGCATATCAAAAATGTTCTAAAGATTCATATTGGAAAGTTGAAATTTTAATGCAATTTTCGTGAATTGTGTGCAAAGTTTTAAATTGTGATTTATATCGCTTGTGTTAAAGTTTGGACCGGTTTTTTATAAAAAAAAAAAAAAAAAAAATTTTTAACGAGTATGTATGTATGTATGTAAACATCTACATATAGAGCTCGCAAGGTATAATTTTTTTAGTTATTAGATATTCATCATTTGAAGAGGGACCCAGGAACAGGGAAAATAGTTCCCAGATTCAGTCTTTGTGTCTCTCTCTATATCCTTTCCTCTCAAATTACCTTTATTTTAATCTTTCTTACCCTATATTCATCTTTACTTTTATCGGTATCCTCCTCGTCCTCTTTGTCGTTACTTTTATGTTAATCATTTTCTTCATCTACATATTCCCCTTCACCTTTGACCTTATATATACAGATAAGCAAAGTGTTAAAATTTACCATGGTCTTCATTTTTGCCTTTATCTTTACGCGTCTTTGTTTTTGTTTTTGTTTTTACATTTGCCTTTATCCTTTTCTTTATCTATGTACGTACTCACCTTTACTTTCATTCTTGTATTGGTCTTTTTCTAAGTGTTATTCTTTGACCTTTTATTAAAATATTTTTGTTAAATTAATACCATATGCAAACACACAAGAAGCACTTGTTTCAGCCCCAACCATTTCCGTTACACCATTTACGTAGCTTCATTTCCGTTGAATTTGCCAATTTACTCCCAACCAACCAACCGACGCTAAAGAAGTCTCACTTCAAAAAATTTAACCATTCGAAACGAACCGGACAGCGGTTCATATATACTTATGAACCAATTCTTGTACCGGTACAAGTTTTTTCTAAGTGGTTCGAACCACTAAACCGAACCGTATTAATTTTTGGAGTGGCTTGCAGCCTCGAAAAATATGTATATTTTTTATGGAATATTAAACCATTTTGCGAAATTTATGAAATCGATTGCCATGAAATTGTCAGACTCATCCAAGTAGACCAAACACTCTTATAATACTGGAAATAACTTTATTTTATGCAAAGCATATTGAACTGGTAATATCAGTAGAGCAGCTGGTTTGATTTTTTGTTTATTATTTGGTCTCTAAAATGTCAAATATTTTTAATTTCTTCTCAAAAAAATTGTCAAAATTTTTTTGCATGTGAACCCGTTTTCCATGCAAAACAAGTGATTTAAAAGCAACTTTTGGAATGGTTACCTAACTCAGCAGCACAAATGCTGGTTGCTGGGTCCGAAAAAGGATGGATGGATTTCGGGATGTAAAGAAGAAAAAAGTTACAGCAGTTTTGACACTTTAAACACCAGAATCAACAGCGAAATACACGTAAATGTGGTTTTTGCTCTAATGTATTTTTAATGTGCCTTGATTTTGTGTAGTATATGTACTTCACATTGAAAAAGCATCAGGTACAAAATACTTATTTCGCGAAGGATTCGCAGTTAATGATTTTTCATAAGACCTATAACACAGAGTTTCAATTATAATTTCCATTCAGCTAGCTACATATGTATGTGCGCATTCGAATGCACTCAACAATATAAATCATCACTGCGTATTACATAGTACATATACATTTCGAAAACTATGGCATGCTTGCCTTAAGCTTTATGTACATTTATCTACAAATACATTTTGTTCAATCCCATACAGCAAATAATAATAATAAAATAAATATTTTGTTTCCATTATTCTGTATTTATTTCTGTTCAACTACGAAATGCAGCGCCACTTATCTCGCCCGCCACATTTTGCAAGGTGTTCCCATTCCATTTGATGTTCGATCGGCAGATGAAAATTGTGCAAGCAGGAAAATCCGTTTCGCGCGTCATTCCAAGGTAAATATGGACAATGACAGATAGCGAATACTCAACTTCACGAACACACCAACCGGCACACAAAAATCTTTTGTACTACACAAGCTAAGCAAAATTGCAGTTTCTCTCAAAAGCAAAGGGCAAACAAAAAATTCCAAAAATTTTTGAGATACTATTTTTTTGTCGACCTTTCTACTTCATGTTTTATTTCGCTCTTAAGGTATCTTCTTACCATGCAATTTTAATGAGTTTCCTTTTTTAACTATTTTTTTTGTGTTGATAAAATGTTGGAATTACCACTACACTTTTCTTTGGCTTTGACCAGCTATGTATGTACGTATGTATGTGCACAAGGTGGTCCGAAATAAGTAAAGTCGGAATTTTAATGCTCTTACCACCTAGGATTGTGCTATATCGAAAAAAACTCCTTTTTTATTTTAAAATCAAAAAATATTTAGAGGTCGCTCAAAGTGCTCATAGTTTTCCATGTGTTTTATATGGACAAAAAAACAAGTTTTCGTAGAAATGTTATAGAATTTTTGAAAATCAATATTTGTTAAATTTAATACTAAAGATTTTTTATTTGTCCCGACATTGCATTTTCTGGCAATTATCAAATATATGTAGTTACTATGAGAAAATGGTTAAATAAAGAATTGTATATAATTTCTGGAAATCCCCTGAAGAGAAACAGAGTTTCCGATTGAAAAATATTAATTTTCAAGAATTCCATTCCATTTTTATGGAAAGTGTTTTTTTTTTTTCATGTAAAATACGTGGAAAACTTTGAGCAACCTCTAACAGCCAGTTTCACCATATTCATCTAAGTGCAAATTACTTTGATTTACGAATTTTCGGTTTCGCCAATCCATTTTAATTAGTTTTTAATTTTGATTTAAGTGACCACCTATGCTCTTCACTTAAATATAAATTAAATCAGAATAAACACACGCAGAGGTGTTACACGTTTAATCACCTGATCATTGTGTATCAGCTGCTTACTTTTATACCAGCCCTGCTTTTACAACACAGCGTGTCAAAGCTTTCGAAAGCTCTAAGTACAAACGAAAGCCTAGTTTTTTATACAACCACTTTTAACTCACTTAAATAAATGGCTTATTGAAACTGAAAATAATTTAATTGAGAATTAAATAAAAAATCCTAGGTGGTGAGAGCATAACAATTTTTACTTTAATTTTTCACATGTATTTTTGGACCACCCTAATTTGCACATATGTACATATCGTCACCCCTAAGGGCGAAAAGATGCAAAGTACATTTTTGAGATTGTTCAGGATAGACGAAAAATAGATGCAGTTTCGTATTACCTTCCATTCTGCATCAAAAACTAAATTAAAAAAAAAAGTGGACTAAGCACCTTTTCACCTTTAGGTAGCAATATGTAAGTTTATATTAAATTGTATGTATTTTTATAGAGTTTCGGTGGAAAATTGTTCGATACTAGAAGTACTTGAGGCCATACGTCCGCATCTACAGTTGAGCTTCGAGAATATTTTATCGCACATCAATACGATTTATGTTCTTCAGACGCGTCAAGGTGCAATGGGAAAGCATGAACGTTATCTGCGGTTGAAGGTGAGTCTCAAACAAATGCTCATTTAGTAAAAGATTTTCTTATTTTTTTTATAAAATGTTACAGAATCACTCGTAATATGATGCTTTATATTAGATTTTAAAAAATGATAATTAAGATCGTGTGTCGTTTCTGCATAAGCAGACAATATACATATTTTTTTAACATTTTCGGACCAAATAAAAACTTTAAACGGGTGTCCTGAAAAATCACGTTATTTTAAGTTGTGACAGTCTTCAAGTGAGCGATATGTTTCATTTTATATTTTTGGTGAGAAGTAAGTAAAAGATGATTTTCTTTCATTTGAAATTTACTTAATTTTTTTTACCAAAAATACTCATATTATAAAGTCGAACATTAAAATTAACCACTTTTCTAAGACACAATCAATACCAATGTATTACAGCTAACTAAAAAAGTGACATTTCATGTTTTAATGGCAGGAAATAGGTTAGGGAACTCGGTCTGACGAAACAGTATCCGCTGGTAGGAGTAAAGTCGGCTGCTTAATATATATTTACTTACAATAATGGCTTACAGATATTTGTGGACGATGTTGAACAAAGATGAGAAGCTTCGGCGGCTTTGAAGAGAACAATTTTCCGCTAGCCCTATGGCCCTTTTCCCGTTGGCGATGGGCACCAAAGAAGACATCTATGATTAAAAATTTTAAAGAGTAAACTACGCAGAGTAAACTACGCAAAGTGTGAAAACAAAATCTTATACGTGAATAGTAGTAACATAACATAACAGCTACTTGATAACTTAGCCTAAGAATAAAACGATTCAAGCGTTGACTTTAATAAAGGTTTTGATGACGAAAATTCAATATCAACTTTCTAGAGATAAAATTGCGACAGCGCTCTAAATACAGGTGCTCCATACCTGTGCATAAGGGTATTATCACTTTGTTCGAATAACGGTTATTTTTAACATCCTAAAGGAATCGAGATAGATGTAAAACAATGCAAAGTTAAATGCTCGGAATAAATAGAGAATTTGTCCGTCCGTGTACATGATAACTCGAGCAAAACGCAAGGTAGGTCCGTATTGAAAACGGGCGAAATCGGACTATAACCACGCCCACTTCCAGTTTTACGATATATTCGAAAAATGGAAAAACTATGAATTTTCAGTAAATATTGAATCTAAATTGTTGAAAGTTAGTATATGCAGTACAATTTTCGTACAAAAAAATATTATTATGAAATTTAAAAAATAGGCGTGGCCCCTCTTGCTATGATGCAATACCAAATCCCAGTAGCCGTTTTACCAATCCCTACCAAAGTCGGTACTAACCTTGATTAAGGTCCAGTTAAGAAATCTGTAGGAAATCTTTGAACTCGGGCCTACGCCTACCTACCATATAACGGTAATTTACAGAAACACGAAAACTGCGATAAATCAGTAACTACTGAAGCTAATTCACCTAAAAACGATTACTGCAATAACCACTTAGCAGAAAAGCAGATTATGATAAAGTTTTTAAAGTTGGGCGGCGCCACGCCCACTTATGAGCACATTCATACACCTGTCTCGGAAAAGCAATCCCGTATAACGGTAAATTTCAGACGTATGGAAACTCCGATTTTCAATAACTGAGGACGCTAATTTACTCCAAGCGAAACCATTTTCAAATTAAATGAAGCCTTTTTCAGATAAAGCGAAACCTTTTTCAAATCAAATGAAACCTTTTTCAGATTCAATGAAAAGGTTTCATTTAATTTGAAAAAGGTTTCACTTAATTTGAAAATGATTTCATTCAAACTGAAAATGCTATATACGAGGGTAGTTCATTTAAATGCGATAATGTCTGGTTACCATGTAGACTTACTTAGTTTTTTATGGAAAGCCGATTTATTTACGAAGTTTATAAATAACGCACTTTGATGTTACAAACCAACATACATACAACCAACAAAAATTTTCATGTTCTAAAGAGCAAATTAAGCAAATTCCTGAAACTTTGTACAGCTTTTTAATGAGGTTAACTTTTCGGCATCACACCAGGCAGTGCTAACAGCTTACATTCGAGTGTAGAGTTTAGAGAGTGGAATCGGTACGAAAATTCGCTAAATCTTTTGGCGTACATTATTTGAATACATCTCAAGCAGAATACTTTATTTGAAAAAAAAAAAAATAAATAAATAGAATTTCTGGCAGGCTTTTTTTACTCTGCAGACCAGTGTGCAACTATCCATCCGTAGGTTCATTCCTTATCTTTTTGGACTAAAATCTGAAAAGTGTCAAAATGCCAGAGCGTAAGCAAAATGCGCTCACTAAAAGAGAATAACAGGTAAAGTAAAGGAACGCAAAAAACCAAATTTTTAGTCCAAAGAATGGCAACAACAAAACTAACGTCAAATAAGAACAGAAATGTATGTACAAAACACATTCACACAAGCACAAGCACAATAAACACTTGCTATATCAATTATTTTTTGCCTCCTTCCAATTTCAATTCATTTCTTTTACTTTTTAGATTATTCTCACTTTTAGCGTATTCTTTAATTTCCGTTAATTTAAATTCAGTTGAGTTTGACACTTTTCAGGATTTTGCCAGAAAAAATTCTTCTGACTAAATCTGCCTACTTCGGACAGATGAGAGTCACTCTCACTGACTGTTGCTCTCTCATTTTTGCTGTCATTTCCGAGTTAAGGAACGCTTTTTGGACAAAATCTGACTACTTCGGACTTTTTCTGACTATTTCTGGGAGATAAGGAACGCTCGTCGTGATCATAACGACGAGGGCAGTGGATTTAAAATTTCAAAATATGTACTTGTATGGTCGTTGGTTAGTTGGCTGACTAACCATTACTGTGGTTAAGCCTGCACAACTTGCCATGAAATATGGCTATAAAATATCAACACAACATACTTACACCTAACTGGTATGTGTTGTGAAAATATAACAGCTGTTAAAAAATGGGATATATTGCATTTAATGTATTGCCAGAATATGCATTCAATTGTAAATATGAAAATACATACATGCAAATTCTCGTATATACATAGAGTGAAGAACGAAAGTATTGATACAGCGAATTTTTCGCAATGGAGGCAACGTTTTTTATTCAAATTTCTTGTCCCTATTTTTAATAAAAATTTATTTCACACTACAATAATAAAAAAAGATCTCTAACTTTGTGCAAAGCTCAGGCGAATAAATTTCTCTACTAATTTGCAGTTTTTTCCATTAGTTTTATATGGAAGAAAACAATAATACCGGCCACATAAAAAAAATTTAAATTCAACACGATTATTTTCAAACTTCAAACTTGAATTTTGTTATACTCAAATTGAAAGGGCTGCAAAACTGCATACTTAGAATTTTGATAAAAAATCTGATTAGAAAGTTGCAAATTAGTATGCAAGTTTATTGAAGTAGTTTCTTATAAAAAATCTGGAAATAGAAAATAGAATAAAAAACTTTGCATACATTGCGAAGAATCCTCTGTGCCAATACTTTTGTTCGGCACTGCATTTGTTTAGGCACAACAAAATGTAACAAATTTTTTGTTAGCCTTAAATTGGAATATTTTTTATGAGTATACAATAGGGTGGTATAAAATAAGTAAAGTCGGAATTTTATTGCTCTCACCCCCTAGGATTTTTTGTGTATTGTTTTGAAATCAAAAATTATTTAGAGGTCGCTCAAAGCGTGCAAAGCTTTCCATATATTTTATATGGGGAAAAAACAACTTTTCGTACAAATGGTATAGAATTGTTGAAAATCAATTTTTTTCGATCAGAAAACTTTGGACCTCTTAAGGATTTTTTATTTATCCCCTCATTGCATTTCTGCTATTTTCTGGGGGTTTTGGCGGACCTATCAAAAATAGTTACTATGAAACGATCGAAAAATTTTGATTCTTAAGAATTCTAAATCTACCATTTCTACGGAAAGTTGTTTTTTCCCCCATACATATAAAATACATGGAAAACTTTGACCGCTTTGAGCGACCTCTAAATATTTTTTGATTTCCAAATAAAAATATAGGGATACAAGTATTTTTGGGTATAGAACAATCCATGGGGTAATAATAATATAATAATAATAATAATAGATTGATTGATGAACGGTAATTGTATTTTTATGAGAAGCTTATGTTCATGGCAGAAATATACTCGGAGGGCGACGGCTGTTAAGAAAAAACCTTTTTTCTACATTTTTTTTGCGTTGTTGCTTTGACCAGGGCTTGAACCCAGGCCCTGCGGATTGGAAACGCGCACGGCTTATCACTACACCACAGCGGCCGCACAATCCTAGGGGTGAGAGCATAGAAATTCCGACTTTACTTTTTCGCATGCATTTTTGGACCACCCTAATATACATATATACTTACGTATGCATAATGAATAGTTTGTTTTGTATTTTTTTTTTTCATTTAATTTTGGCTTAATTTATTATAACAAATACCGCAAATAAATAGCTTAGAGCATTCGTTAATTATTAAATCAGTTCTCTTTTGCACAGCGTGCTAAACTTATTGGCCTTGTTTGAAATATTAAAATATAAACTAATGGGTGAAAGTATGTCCATGCATACACAGGAAAATAAAAAGCGTCGCAGAAAAAATAAAGGCATATCCAATTGGCTGTCGGGTAGGGTAAGATCATCCAGTAGACATGCCATTCGAAGGCAGTCGAAAAGGCGTATTTCCAAAGCCATGGAATAAAAACAAAATATTCGCAGTAGGCGTATAGATGGATTTCAGAATGATAGTTAAATTTTTAATAGGTCATTATTATTTCAAGTAAGTTTTCATCTTCTAAGAGCATACATACATACATACGTATTAGAAGGCTTGAAGCTATGACCATTCCATACAACAAAATTTATAAAAAAATAATGTAAAAAAATAAACTAAAATAAATAAAATAAAATAAGTTAGGGTCTCGTTAAAGTTACTAAAAGCCATTTAGTGAAAGGAGTTATTCAAACTCTAATCCAAATTACTAACAATTTGTACTAATTTACTTCGTTTTTAAAAAAGCTGGTCGCGCGAATAGCAGACCGGCATTTAAATATCTGCATACATACATATACATACATACCTAACCAATTATGTATGTACGCTGAATTTGAATAACTCCTTTCACTAAATGGCTTTTAGTAACTTTAACGAGACCTTAACTGATTTTATTTTATTTATTTTAGTGCAGTTTTGACAAAATTTTCTTGCTAAAAAATCTTTCGTTACACTACTTCATTTTATTCCTTTGATTGTACAGGTTAAACAAAAGCTTGTTTTTAAAAAATATTTTTTTTACATTATTTTATTTTATAATTTTTAGTCCATTTATAAAACCGTTGTATATTAAAAAGTGTTACTTTATTTTATGTACAAAATTTTGCAATAGATATTAAAAAAATCAACTTGCAATGAAAGAAAACAGAAGACTTGGCAAGCAAAATGTTGTTTGGTTACCTTTTGTATAAACATACATATGTACATATAGCAGCAGTTAATTTTATTTAAAGAAATGGCGTGTCGTCCATTTCCGCTGTAGCATGGCATATATTTAGGCGCAATATTTAACTTCTTCAAACAGGTTCATATCTAGACTAGGTTGATATCTAGAATTTGCCATAAGTAGCTTTGATACACTACCGCCGCGGCGCGCCGGCAGCTTTAACAATTTTATAGTGGTTTTACGTTCTTTGGCAAATTACGCTCTGTTAGCCATAAATCTTACTATTTTTTGGCCGCCTTTGAATCAAGACTCCTGGGCCAAATGGGGAATTCATTTATATGTATTTTAAATTGCATTGTCATCGTGATTGGAACTATGCTGAAAATTTCAAGTCTCTAACTTGTCGGGAAGTCAGTTTAAAAACGATTGGAAATTTCCGCGATTTGCGCGGGATGACCAAGTTAAATAAAAGCTTATAAAAATTGAGCTTTCTATGTTGCCATTTGTTTTCCTTTGGCATGATAATGGTTCAAAAGGAATTTTGGTAGGCTTTAGTCCCTCCGAAAAATTGCAACGTGTGCAAGTGCTTTGATGGCATTAGAAATGGTGGACACTATAAGCCTGACGTTCCCTTTTACTTACTAATTATCTGCAGCTTTCACAAACCAGTAATGAAGTGCTGCCTACCAGCGAAAGCTATTGCTTGAAGCAGACTGGCTGTGCTCCCTAAACGTAGTTCGGTGTTGTTTTGGAAATAGACTTCGCGTTGACTTTATGCCTACTTGTTGGTGTTGGTTGATTCCCGCACTGAGCAGAAAGAGAAAGTGAATTAGCTGTGATCAAAGGAAGGCATCAAACATGGATACATTCCAGGAGCCAATCTGTTGTACAATAAAGTGTTTCCTTTGTTTCGCGATGGATTAAAATGCTTACGGAATGCTCGGACAATTCAAACTTCAAACTTGCACTGTGCTATACTAAAATTTAATAGGATATACAACTGCATACCGCACTTTTTCGTAAAAATTCTGATTAAAGTTTTGGAACTTTCATGCAATTTTGTTGAAATTTATCGAATTTTCCTAACTTTTTAAGGAAAAATCATTAACATCAAGTAAGCAAAAGTAAAATTGCCACAACTTGTTAAAATATCGCGCTAATATTTATGTTTTTGTCAGCGTATATATTTAAATATATTTATATTTTCCTTTGCTGTTCTATTTATTAATATATTGATACTTTTACAGTTAATTTAATTCATTCAATTCTATATTTGCATACAGAACTAAGACATTTATAAATATTTACAGGGTCAAATGATGTACATAGCAGAATCTGATCGTATATTGTTCCAATGCTATCCCAGCGTAATGAATTTGGACGATTTAACAAAGTGAGTATAAATAAAGGTTTTTTGTTCATGAAGACTGAGCCACACTAATGCACAAACAGGAATATGTACCCATTCTGGTTGCTTGAGATCAAAAAGTGGACATAAAGCTTTGATTGCTTAAGAAATGGCGAACACGTACTTTTCTTCTTATTTTATGCCTCTACAACCGCTTGTAGGTTTGGGTTCAGTCCAAATGATTTCGTAATTTTTTATTTATTTTTTTTGAACTAACATAAAAAAGTCTCAAACCTAAGGACGGAGTCCAAGCTTTTCAAAAATGTAAGGACAACTGTGGATGTAATATGTGCCGATCAACTACCACACAAGTTGTCTGCAGTCAACTGCTATTTACCTCTCCAACTGTATCCCACCACGTGGGTTGAACTACTAAGTAAGATTGCACATAGCTCGACTTGGAATACCGAGGTATATTTCTATGACATTTGTCAACGTTTACTTCAATATAGACTCATCGCCTTACCCGAACACAGTTTAGGAATGCATCACATGTTTTCAAGTTAAAGCATGCACACCGTTGTTACAATAATGTATTTCATTGTTAAGTTAATTATCATTAAATTTTAATTTTAATTTTAATTAAATAATGTTCAAGAAACTGTGGGAACATATTTATGTATAGTATGTCCAGTTTTTTTTAATATTCAGTCATCCGTACGGTTTGTAAAATTTAGTAGTCGTTGTCTACTGTCCATAATTGAGCCGTTTATTTTGAAGTGGCATAAATCACCTTAAAAAAAATCGAGCTAATGATAACAGTAATTACAATTTAACGTTATCTGTTCATTGAAAAAAAAATTCATGAAATTTTGAGAGCTACTGAAAGTGGCATAAGTTACAAAAAAAATTTACAAAAATTTTGCAAAATATAATTTTACACACACAAAAATATACTCACAAAACTAGGAGTAAAACTGCGTTTTTAGTTTCTCTTTCTGGCGTCAGGATTTTTCTTAAAAGGAATTTGAAATTTCAAAGATGTGAATAGTTTCAAAATATATTTCAGTGCAATGTAGAATAACAATGAAAGAGAAGATTCTGTACAACTGAAAAATATTTAAATATTTGGTGCTTAAGGAAGAACAGTTATAGAAAATGTCCTGAACGTACTTAAATTATGGACAGGAACACTTTTCCACTTTCGAAATAAACGGCTGATTTCGTATCCACTTTTCAAATTCTTAACGCCATGTGTTCCGTTATAAATTACTAAAAATTTAAATAAAAAAGTATTTTGATAGCTTTCAAGAGACCAAAAATACTTATATACATGCATGCATATATATATATATATATATGTGTGTGTGTGTATATAAATATATGGGGCATTCCATACCAAAACGGACGGGGTTAACACTCCATTTGTTTGATTTGTTTCAAATTTTTAGGGTTGATGCATAAACGTAAATAATTAATACTTATTTAAATATGTAATTTCCCAGCCAGCAGAGAAACGTACTTTTTGCCGAAAGTGCAGTTTTCGAACATTTTTCGTTTCCGGAAATGTTCAGAAAACGATTTTCATATTTGTTCATTTTTCGTATCCGAAAAATGTCATCATCTTATTTCAAAACAATGATTTTAAAATATTTGTTCAAACTGAGCATTTGAAAACATGTATACATAGTCGCCAGTAGCTGAGTGTGCAGAGAAGTATGCTACTATTTGTTAGCTTTCAGGAGGTCCCAGGTTCGAATTCCGTCAGAAGCAACACATTAAAATTAGTTATTCAAATAGAAATAATTGCTGAATCTTAAATTAGTTTTTTGTTTGATCTCCTGTGAAAAAGTTTCTGTAAAGTTCATAATGAAATCATTTTCAACGCAAAATTGGATCAGACAAATTTCAGGAAAACAGCCGAAAGCGCATCCGTTTTACAACCATTTTCGATAGTTTTCTGCACATACGTTTCGGATGAACACTTTAGTGGGAGAACTGATCTGAAAAACGGATGAAACATCAGGTTTTTATACGAAATTGTTTCCATTTTCGAAAACGTTTTCGGATTTTTTGCTGGCTGGGTTGAGCTTGATTAATACATTCTTAAAAATTTTACAGGACAAAACCAAAAACAAATCAATTTAATAGTTTTCCAAATATCTCAAGAACGGAGATATGTAAAAATTCGAAGAAAATCACACATACACACGTCAAAATTCTCTATAAAAAAAAATTTTTTTGAAATTTTTTTCTTTAAAAATTTTTTACATACAAATTTTTTGATAAAAAAAAATTGTTTTTGAAAATATGTCAACTCAAAAAAAAATAAAAAAGAATCACAATGGTAGCTCTGAGTATTGCGCAATATTTAAGTATAGTATTATGGGGTACACTCTACAATAATTTGAGTTATGAATTTTTTTTTACACCAAAGTTGAGTAAAATGAGTATATTACAAATTTACGAATTTGTTTAGAATTTTTTTGAGTATGCAGTTTTTAAGCCCATTAAATTTTAGTATAATAAAGTCCAAGTTTTAAGCTACTGCAAAATTGGCGTAATAAAATTTATTTAATTTGATGCTGGGACTATTTACAGTCTCAAAAGAATTTGTTTAAGAATATAAATCTCAAAAAAAAAAAAAACAAATAAGTAGCATTATCAAGTGAATAAGTACCTAATAACCTTACTTAGCCAGAAATGCTTTGATTTCGTTTTAAAAAAGCAATCTAATCCTTCAACATAACGAAGTCAATTTTACCCTCTCATATGCATTGAAAATTGTATAAACATGCTTTCAAAAACACTTACATAAATACAAATATACATACGCACATATTTTGTTTTCTATATACATATGTATGTACAAACATACTGTTGTGTATATTTATTTTACTTATATACATAAATAAATATTTTCGCTAGACGTGTATAATGGCGTGAGCTCAGAAATTGCGAAAAAAGACGCGACTTCAGCGAAGAAAGGCGCCTAAACCTAGTCGACGGCGAAGAAAGACGCGTGAATAATTTTCGCGGCCAACTAATTCCCCAAAAAGTTTTTCGGGAATATTGCTTAAGGCTTGGTATAAATCTTGGCTAGGTATAAATCTATGTTCACGTGTCTTTCTTCGCCGTCAACTAGGTTTAAACGTCTTTTTCGCCGAAATTTTTTTACGCGTCTTTTTTCGTCAATGCGTCTAAACAATGACGCCCCTTTATTCGTGTCTAGTGACGATATATACAAATACATAGATTCTCTCACCAACAAGACAAACCGCAAAGTGCCATAAAACGCCCAAAGTCATGCTCCGGTCGTATAGACTACATATGTATGTACATACGTTCATAAGGCAGCTTGAATAAATAAAGCTGTGTAACTCAATGGATGTATGTATGAGCATATAGGGCCTGCTTTAAATGCCTTTAATGGCTTACTTTTGTCATATTTCGGATTTTACAAAATCAAATTTGTTTTGCGTCTGCCGGTTGCAGAACGAAATTTAGGATAAAAAAGCACAGCATCTGCAGTAAAGAGAAAAAATACAATAACAAGAGACACATAATAAACATGGAAAAGCACACTCACATATATATATATATATAAGTAGACATAAGTATATACATTTAGCCATAACAATACATAGCAATTTTATAGCACATTACTTTTAGCCAGCCAATTCGCTTTCACAGCCGAGTCGTTTCCCTTGCTGAAGTTGTTATTCTTATGAGTCTGAAAATTTTGTTTTTTTTTTTTCATTTTTCCTAGCGTTTCGTTTGTATTTTGTTGCTTTATTTGTTGCTGGACTGTTTTTTTTTTGGATTGTGGGTGTATAGTTATAATAACTAAGTGCTTCCAGTAGAAATCTCGAGCTGACATAAACTGGTATAAGGACATCCGTGACAATATTCTTAAATTGTTGGGCTAGTGCGTCTATAAAATTGAGAATTCAGTATTCACATGTGCAGACAGGCATACATACATACACATATATATTGTTTGCAAAGTTGCTAATTTTTTTTTTTTTTTTTAATTTTACAGGAGAGGAAACATTTCTTCTAGCTATTTCCTTCAAGTATTTCGCAAATTTTTAAGTAAAATATTTTGCGTGTTTAAAGCAAAACATTAGATCATTATTAAAAGATTTCGTATTATTTTGGTTTTATTAGATTTTCGATGCCTCTTCTGGACTTAGCAAAATTGCCTTTCATTGAATGTAATGGAGGAAAAATAAAACAAGTACCTTAATTTTTTTCGAAACGATGTAATTTGATTAGCCCCTGCTTTCAATGTCAAAATAATGAGTTTTCATAATAAGTCGATTTAGCAACTTTTCATTCGAAGCGATATGCTTTTGAACCGTTTAAACCTAAAAATCATATTCTGTTGCTTAATTTTCAAACTCTAACCCAAATCTGAATAAGTACTCAGATATAAGCTAATATGTCCATAATTTACGGAATCGAGGTTTATATAGACTTATGTGGATATTTCAAAGAAAATTCCATGTATCTGTTCGTTAATTCAAATGGGCAGACGATGACTTAAAACTGCTTTAAGTTCCTACAGGGCTGTTCAAGATGTTGTGGGAATGGTCTGGGATTTGCAAGTTGGGATTGGATTTGCAAATTTTGTGTTTGCTGCCATGGCAACCCTGTGCATGTTATTGTTGTGAATTTACAAATGCAACGATTACGCAAATGCGCAAGATCCTGAACAGCCCTTATATATTGTCGCGCGAAGTTTGCGGCCAGCTCCTAGCTACGCGCCGAAGCAGAATAAAGAGAGCATTTAAAAGGTAACGTCTTTACTGCTAGCGCATTAAAGTGTTCAAAGTTTTAAAGTACCAGTTGAGATACTAGATTTTATGCTTTCTTCTTAATTCTCATAATTGCCGGAAGCGGCACTTAGACTGCTGTTGGGTAGGTGAGTTTAAAGATGGCGCAAGTCGACTCCAAGAAGCAGCAGAAGGTAATTTCTTCGGTAGCGGAGTTGGGCAGCATAACTCCCGCAGGAGCAACCTTTGATCGACGTTCACCCCGAGCATAGTCTAAGTATTCTTTGTATGTTTGTAGCCTTGTCTGTAGATTCCGCCCTTTTATATTCCTCGCCCATCCTTTTAGCATCCCCCACGTAGAACTCAGTCACTCAGCAGCTTGAAAATTACTGCGAGTGGGTTCGTAACTTTTTGGTTGGACATCACGCGGGTGCACCTACAAACAAGGTTTTGTTTTTGGTATTAAATATTTTGTATTAGGTATTTGGCAGCCGCTGCAGTGTGGTATTTAGCAATGCACGCTACCATTCGGCAGGGCCTGGGTTCAACCTAACTTCAAAAAAAAAAAAACAATAAAAGTTTTCTAATAGCAGTCGCCCCTCAGCAGGCAATGGCAAACCTGCGAGTGTATTTCTGCCATGAAAAACAGATTTTCGTACAGTTTTATAGCCCATTCTACTTTAATCTTATAATGTGCAAGTTTTAAGTGACTAAAAATTACCCCTGATTTTTTCGAAATAAATAAATTTGGAGTACAAAACTGTATACTGAAAAAACCTAATACTTCTGAGTAAAAGGTTGAAATTTGAGTGGAGATGTGTTGCATTTTTTTTGTAGTTTTCTACAAAGTTTTAAAATTGGTTTATATGGGGTTTGTATAAGAATGAGCTGTACATTAATTGAAAATTCTTAAAACTAAATAAGTAAACATAAGTGACAAACAATATCACTTTGAAATAGCGTGCTATAAATATGACCCAAACTGTATATACGTATGTTTGTATGTGAGTGTATAAACCCAAATATGATTTGAATGTTTTCAATGAAGCGAAATATCTACTCAACTAACCATATAATCAAAATAAAAATTTAATTTCATATCCATTCTTGCTCCCTCAAATATCTTATCCAAATCTGATGCAAACGTTCATTCGTCTATTCGTTGCTATTTGCTAGTAAACGTTTTAGTGCAAGTGAAGCTCATTTCTTTAGCAATAAATATTTGGCTAATAATGACATTGCATTTGAGAATTCGGCAGATGCTTGAACAATTTGTTAGAAATTGTTTTTTAGCTTAACCATAAACACCAGCAGTAAAAGTAAAAGCGAAATTTATGATGCAACTTAAGTGCAAATAAAAAGTTGAAAATCCACTGTATGGCTAAACTGGCAAAACTTACACACCTACGCGCGGAAAAACATTTTTTTTTTTTAGTTCATGCTCAACTCGTGCCACAATCCTTAATTGCTTGCAGGCTGCAAACAAAAGTTTTCCTTTGGTGATGTTGCCAAAAGCAAAGGTAATATTTCGTCCAACAAGCGGTCATCTCAATATTTGACCAACACTTTGGGCTATCTGTAAATGCCGTTTTATAAGTGCTCCGCAGATTTTTGAATTTTTTTTACCTACGTATGTCTATTTATTCACTGCAATTGATCCATTAAAATGTTTACCAACCAATTCACAAATCTTTTAAAAACTACCGCAGAACAACTAGCAGAGTACTTAGCGCCCTGCCACTCATAATTGCTTATGCTTCTTTTCTCATTTCCATTACAGAAAGGGTCTTTATATCTCAGATGTGCCGTTGCATGATGCCACCAGAGATTTGGTGCTGCTTTCGGAAAAATTCGAAGCAGAATACAAATTGACGAAGAATTTGGAATTACTCACTGATAAGCTGCAGCAGACCTACAGGGATTTGGAGAGTGAAAAGCAGAAGACAGATAGGTGAGTGGAGTGGAGCGTGAATAGCCTCTATATTGTACTGTCATTTGTCAAAAATATTTTTTAAAATATTACGGAAAAATAACCCAGAGCGAAGTGTAATTGAATAAAATGACTAATTAATAGGTAACATAAATATTATTTATTATTTGCAGGCTTCTCTACTCGGTACTTCCGAAATCTGTGGCCAATGAGTTACGACATCAACGTCCAGTGCCGCCTAAACGGTAACACATAAATTTGCTTAATTGTTGAACGCAAAATATTTATATTTATGGCTATGATTTCAATGTTTCATTTTATTGCACGTTTATCTTCATTTCGCTGCAGTTATGATTCGGTTACACTGATGTTTTCTGGCATCGTTGGCTTCGGTAAATATTGTGCGGAAAATACAGATGCAGAGGGCGCTATGAAAATCGTAAAAATGCTGAATGAATTGTACACAGTCTTCGATGCGTTAACAGACTCAAAGCGTAATCCAAATGTCTACAAGGTAAAATTTGATAAGCCGCTTTATTATATAAATTTAATATAAATTAAATAATAGATGCATTAATTGTGATTTTAATTTTCGGCCAGTCCAAATTGAAGTTTACGAGCTTTTTGCGCAATGGCATTGTTTTAAATTTCAAATGTATGAAATAGCCAAATCCCTTGTTGCCAGAAACTTAGTTCTAATTTTCCTTACATCGTGCAGCAACAAAATTCTTTATAGGTTTACTATTTCTTAATCCATTTTCAAAAACAGATATAGCTGGAAAGGTAATAAATAAAGTACCCTATCTGCTTTACGTTTTCAATAATTTTTCACCGACGAATGATGAAATCACCACAATTTTTAAAAACCATACTCTGATAGCAAAACAAAAAAATTGTTTTTTTTTTTTATTGGCATTTCTTAGGTTAGGTTAGGTTATGCCGGCTGCCTATAAGAGGTCTCACATAGACGAATATAATATCTACGGCGTTGCCAGATAAGTTTACGACCTATGAATCAATGCACGCACGCAATGTTAAAGAACATTTCCATTCGAATTTAGAGAATTTTAATAGACACTTTTGGCCTTTGTCGATTCTGACTGTAAGCTATGCAGCTGTACCTACCCGAATAACGCGAGTCTTTGCCTACTGAAGGCAAATTATAGGCACTACACTTTCCTCGTGATAGTTGCGTTTTCTAAATTGTTTGTCATCTTGTATTAAATTAATTTTAAGTGCACGTGCTGATAACAAACAATGCTTTGTTAGCATCTTGTTGTTGTTAGAAGCCTCGAATCTGTTCTTCTTGTTGGTGTTAAGAAATCATATTATTTTATTAATTATAAATAATTCCTGCAAGCCTGTAACCCTTAGTTATTTTCCAAAGCCTATCGACTAGTGGAATTCGTATATTCGTCATAAGTGAGGCGACTAAGAGGATGCCTTCCTAAGCTAGCTCGTCAGCTCTCTCATTACCTTCCACACCCTTGTGTCCTGGCACCCATTAAGGGTAGATGTTTTTAGCCACATCTAGCCTTCTTATAGCCTCCTTTCAGTCCGTGACGATGAAATAAATTGTTTTGTAGGAAATAAGAGTCTTAACGGCCGTCTGACTATCTCTTCTGTCGGATAAATTTCATGTAGTATCTCTGCTGCTTCCTTTATTGCAAAGACCCCGGCTGGATAGATACTGCAACGGTCTGTTAGCCTAAGGGACCTATGAATCACCGCTTCGGTCCAATATACTGCAGCCCCTACCCATTCTTCCATTTTAGAACCGTCTTACGCCAAACGTTATATTGTAGATTCTTGAAAACTTTTGAAGCTCATACGCGGGATCACCTAGTAAGTATGTAGTAAATAAGAAAGGCCATACGTTCTAAAGCTAAGCTGCCCTGTCCAGTATCTTAAGTTATGTCTTATTTTTCGTTGCTGTCCACCATACTCCATAAAATAGTACTGGCTTAATGATTGCCGTGAATATGTATGCAGTACGAAAGAGCAGGAGAAGGGCCCCAAGTGCAGTCCAGTCTCCTCTTGCATGTATACAGTGCTGCCGAGGCCTTCCTCACACGCCCCTTCACACTAAGATTCCACGATAGTTTTCTGTCCAGTACGACTCCAAGATACTTCGTAATTGGCTTTAGTTTCAAAATAGTCTTCCCCAATTTAGGTACATATATCCCAAGCTGGGATCTTATATTTTTTAGTAAATAATACTAAGTCGGGCTTCTCTGCGTCAGGTTTGCCAGTGAGGCAAGAGCCATTAGACACTTACCGCTTATGATAACTGAAATGTCATCTGCATAGGCTATTAGCATGGCTGCTCCTCCTTCTATGTTTGTCAGTAATGAATTAACCACAAGCATCCATAGAAGTAGTGATAGCACCCCTCCCGGGGGTGTTCCTCTATGCACGTCTTGCGTCACATCTTTGAACCCCATTGCGCCGAGTTTTTTCTTCAGCCCAACAGTTGGTTATCCAAACTTGAAGAGTACGATGCGCCCATATCGAGGGTATCGCTTCTACATATTAGAGCTTCTTTCGAGACATTATTAAACCCTCCCGCTATCTCTAGAAACACTTCTAAACATATTCTCAATTTTCCATGCGCTGAGCTATCGAAAATTGTCTTTCATCTAAAGTTTCTTTGATGTGTACATCTATTAGCAGTTCCAGGGTTTTCAGTAGAAATTAAGTTAGGCTGATAGGCATATAACTTTTAGAGTATACGTGGCTGCCAAAATCAGTTTTTTCTGTTAAACAAGTGACTATAAGTGACCATAAAGTCAAGGTGTAGGGATGGTATTCTTAGATATAGTAGTCGAGAGATCCAGCTTTAGTTTAAGACTAAGAGGAAGGTTCTACTACCTTTTGTTTTTTTTTTCCTAGAGCTTCTTAAGTATTGCGAAAAAACTCTTTTTTGGGCACTTGGCCACGTTTTTCTCAAAATTTGGAGCTGATGGAAACTGTATGCTTACGGATTCGTAATCAGCACAAAAAAGTCTATCAAAAACAGCTTTAACATTTGCCGTATCAAAACCAGTGTTGCCGGTTCTATCTTTGCTGCACGGAAATCTTTACTGACTCTTTAGGTATTCACACACTTGTGCGATTCTGTCGATGTGAATATGTTCTAGCGGAAGTTACAAAAGGCTATCCATAGCGTTGTTAATTCATGACATAGCTGCCACGAGATGCTCCTTCAAATTCCATGGCAGATTTTTTGGATCAGCATGGGAATTAAGTAATTACACAGGCCCATGGATGTTACATCCCTGAAAGTTGTGGCAGAAACCCACTAAATTTTGATGTTGATCAAAGTGTCCAGATTGTTGATTCACATTCAACGGGAGTTGTCATAAATGGTGGTTTAATATTGGGAAATGTTCGATATGCTACAACAAAATCGATAACAATAAAAAGTATTGCCACATCAAAATTAAAGCTCTAATTCCATAACCTAGTTATCACACATTTTGACGCGCACAAAAAATTGACTTGAAGGGGGAAAAATCGCCAAACATCGCAAAAAGCGATTTCATAAATTTTTAAGCTCAAATATCCAAAACAAAAATCGCCAAATTAGCCCCAAATCGTCCAATCTGGACACTCTGATGTTGATAGACACATAATCGTAACTCATACGCCATGGCAAGCTAGTAACTTTGGCAGACCGTCAAGTAATCAAGTGCACTCATTTTGGCACGAGTTTTATAATATACACTCAAATAAAATAAAAAAGGTCCACACTGATTGATTGCTTGCCCGCCAGCCCGAGTTCCTCGCACGCCATGGCTTATAAGTTATCTATGAACAACAACAATTTTATATGGTTTATATAAAAATATCCAAGTCGCTGTAACTTTTCTGTTTATTAAGTATACTCTTATTACTTTAAAACATCTCATGAAAAAAAATTTGTTAAGCTAAGGAGCTTCTCCAATTCGACGGCATCTTAAAAAGATGTATAGTACCCCAAAATATCTTCAAGGACACATCAGACTTGGAAACCAATTCATAAATAAATACGTTAAGAAGAAATTTCTATTAAGGCTCTTTTTAGTACTCGCCAATGACGAAAATTTTTATAGCCCCGAAATTTTCTCAAAGTAATTTTTCAGACTGTAGAGCGACTAACCCAGTTTGATGTACATATATATATGTATATGTATGTATGCATATAGGAAACCTATGGTATACATTATTTTTTTGAAGTTTATAAGCTTACATTCATGCACGGTTTCGCTTTGAAGCATTTGCACACCTAGCACAAATTGTTTATGTATGTAATCACATTTTCCATTGGCAAGAAAATAAAAAGCAGTGCATGTCAGCACCGAAATTTCCGACAGCCAAGGAGGCAACACTTCAGCTTTCGTTCTAGTTGGAAACATATACATATGTATAGCGGTTTCTTGCAAATACGAGTAGTTCGCTAGCACAAAAGACTAGCGTGAATTTACTTTAAAGAAAATAGCGATGTAATATATGTACGTAATTTTTTTTTACATACATATACATATGTATATATGTATATTTTGGCAAACTAAATTTTCGTTGGCGTGAAGACTGCCACCATCGAAGCGCAAACTCAATTGTCTCGAATATGAAGCACTTCAACTAACTGATTTTTAACAATTTCAACAACGCAAAACACTTATACGCCCTGTTATTATTAAATTTCGCATGGATTGCTGGTTGGCATATGCGAACAGGATCTTATAGCAACCTGCAAAAGCATGGCTCATTAAGCTCTACAAACTACAAGGTGGCGAGGTTGCAGCATATACGTGTGGAGGAAAAACTAAGAATTCTAGATTCACGTCTGCGACGTGGTTTTTTTTTTTGTATCCAATATATGTATGTACTTATTTAAGTATCTTTAGCAGCAGCATTTTTAAAAATACACACCATTAATTAAGTAAAAAATTCTTACCAGCGTTACCAGCATTATGAATAGAATAGGTTATGTTATATGTAAAGGCTGTTTTAGTATGTCTAATGGAGACATATTTTCTTTTACCTAAAGTCCCTATTGATATGGTTTTTGACTCGATACTGGCTATATTAGTTTGTCAGACTGTCGAAACACTACTGTCGGAAACACCACCACCTCAGTGTAGTTAACTTCGAAAACTGGCAAAGAAGGTGTTTGACACTTTCGGTTTCCTTGTCGTCTAGTCTTGACAATATCAGCAATATGAACACATTGAAAATCTCATTCTACTAGCTAACATCCCCATGAGAAAGTCGCCAATTATGATCCTTCTAATCAGCCGAAGGAAAGGGCATCCCATACGAAGGGAGACATTTTACGCTCCATTATCAATGCTGGGCCAAACTCTAAGTTTGCAGTGTTGTATGAAAGATGAACATTAAGGAGACGGACGCCCTCTACGCTCTTCTAATTTTGGACTTGCATTTCTCCAGTCCGACTTTATAAAGTCTCCAGTCAGAAGACAGTAAAAAGTTGTCTGCTTGACGATCTTAAACCGAAGAGCTCAGCCGTCCTTCGGTGTGGTTATCTTCAACCCTTCTAAAGTCCCAGTGGGCATACGCTCTCAAGGCTCTTCCTAATCTAGGCGAAGATTTCTGCTATATAACTCGCAACTGGTAGGCCTCAGATTCCTGTAGATTGTGCTAGAAGGATGAGCTTCGTCCAATATAAATTCAATGTACCTGTGATCGGTAAAACAGGAATCACTGAGGACGCTCAAAGGTATCCAATTAGAGCCTGCTCTCTTTCCTGCATGACCAAGGCAAGGGCTAGTTCCGGATCTCATGCGTGGGTTGCTCCCGTTGTCCAGAGTTGCCGAGCAAGCCCAAGTATCTTTTCCTAACCGGAACGCCTGTCTTAAACTAAATTTTCTAGAAATCATTGAAAACTACTCGTATACTTTTTTGGTCATTTAGGAATGCACTGAAATCTAAAATATTTCCATTTTTGCTTTGTTTACATTAGTTTTGGTTACAACAGTGCAACAATTTTTTGCAAACCCAGAAAACACCATATATTTTGAGTGTCACTTCTAACTATCAAAAAGCATTGAGCATAAAACAAGTAGTTTATCGATGTGTATATATGTATATATACATAAATATGTATGTATGTATATGCATAAGTGCCGTGCAGAAAAAAATATCAATTGATTAAAATAACAAACTGATAGTTAACTTTTTGCGGGATTTGGATAAATAACTAACTTCTAATTAGCTACGAAAAACAAACTTTAAATTAGTTGAAAAGTCGTGCAGGAGTCATTCGGACGTTAACGGGAGTTTGCTTTCTTTACAAGCATCCATTTAAATATCCTCCTACTTTCAATACACATTTTTCTGCACTTAGCAGGTTCTTTTTCGAATTCAGGACAAATAAAACAAAGATCAAAATTTTACATGTAACCAAATAAGAAAATATGTAATGTTAAATCAAAAATTATAAAAAAATAGAAAATAATTTTTTTTTATTGATTGATAGCTTATGTCCAAAGTAGTTAACTACAAGTTAGTTTACATCTAAGGCATCGCCGTTCAAAAGTAGTTAGTTACGGCCAAAGGAAATAGTTACCACTAATCGACTGCTAGTTAGTTAATAGTTAGCTACAAACTAGTCCCATTTCCTGCAGGGTATATATAAGAGTTGCATGCGCCACCGCGCGCACACACAAAGTTATCTTACTTACTTAAACTCTCTGCCACAATGCAGCTTGGGGCGCAAATTTATATTCGCTTCTTTCGCATTTAGCGATTTTACCCTTTTTAGCCATTAAAACAATTTTCAACTTCTCTTTGCTCCACAACGTCACCCACTTGACCGACTAACTGACTTTGTTTGCTTGGCTAACTTACCAAGTGATTGAGTCACTGACTCGTCGACTACATACTACTTACTTCATCCGCTGAGTGACTTACTAACCAAGTGCTGCTGAGGAAATTACATGAATTGACGCCAAAACTATATTTTTTCATAAAACAAAAATCTGGGTCGTTTGTCAGGGTCATACATACATACATACATACATACATATGCAGTATGTACTAAATTTATACATATGTACATATATGATTAGTGTACAAATATTCTTCTGCACACATGGGAATAGTTATTGCCGTAGGTATAGGTACGATTTCCATGTTGATGTCGTTCATTTATATAAACAAACAGTTACCAAGTAGTACTCGTAAAGTGTGCAAGTTAATATGCAAGTATGTAAGTTCACATGTAAACGCACATGTAAATGATTTCGCTCATGTTCTTATATGTATGACCGACGTTTGTGGTTGCCACGAAGCCATTAACGGCGGTCATAAAATAATTGCACTTGTGTGTGCACTCAACTTTACATTTCTTAAGTGTGATTTTTTTTCTCTTTCTCTGCATTTTCTACAATCTTCTTGAACTGCATATACATACACTTATAGCATGGACAGACGGCAATATTAATCCCGATCAAGGACGCAGTTGATCTGATCAAAATTTTATGCTGACAAATGACGGTATTGTGGATTAGGCGAATCGCGAGGTCGTGCGCTCGAATGCCATGGCGTACACATTTTTTTTTGTTTTTGTAGTTCCTTCCATTATCGAATATATCTATTTTTATGTATTTATAGTTGTTGTCTTAAAAATTTTATTAACATGAATAAGAAATAATATAAAACAAAAAAATATTGTTTTTTTTTTAATTACTGGGTGTCGGGCCTTGCTCCTACTGACCTTTAGTAGACAGTTCTGACCACTAGACTACCGCGGACGCCAAACTATATGGCTTTGTTTGGTTCGTTTACCTTTCATTCAACATAAAAAAAGCAATGACCGTTTCGGTCAATGTTGTCATCGAAGATGCCCCTAATCCGCATTAATTTTTTAAATTAATTGTAGGAATGAGCCGGATCAACGCTGCCGTCTGTCTATGCTTTTACATACAAATATTTTGCTTTCGAATTTTTTTAATGCTTGGCCTTTGCATTGACTTCGGCTATTAAACATACATTTCACTAAATACATTGTGAAAGTTAGAGGTTTATTTTAAAATATTAAAAGTATTTGGGCTATAAGTAACTTAAGCGAGTCATGCTTTATTTGTTTCAGGTGGAGACTGTTGGCGACAAATATATGGCCGTTTCTGGTTTGCCCGATCACTGTGAGGATCATGCCAAATGTATTGCTCGCTTGGCGCTGGATATGATGGATATGGCGAAGAATGTGAAAATGGGATCGAATCCAGTGGTGAGTAAATATTTGGAGCATTAAAATATGGTATTTTATATTCGATATATCTCTTAAAATTTTCCTTTAATAATAACAAGTTATTTTTAAGCAAAACAACAAAACCGACTTCAATTCTCATATAAAAATTTAAGATTACCGTTAATTTCTTCATGATGCAATCAATGATCGGATCTAAACAAAATTAGTTCGGGACTACCACTTTTGCTTAAAAAAAAGAATTATAGAAATCGGTAACATACAAAAAAAAAATTCCGACCAATTGATAACCTCAACATTTTTTTTTTTTAAGTCGGTTAAATATAACTAAAACTTCCTCACCGAGCTAAAAACTTTTGAAGATGGCCAAATAATGAACATTTCTTAAAAAATTTTGTTAATTCTTCATATAACATTGTGAAAAAGCTGAAAATCTATCCTTCGCACTATCAATTAAAAATCAAAGTAATTTCGGTGCTTACTTTCTTCTTCTTATGCATATTGCAAGGAACATAAACTTCTCCCAGGTTTTCAACCCACGTTCTAAACATTGGACTCGCGAGGCCTACGCAGAAGTAGAAAATGCTCAGATAATTCCATCTGGTCGTCCTTCTAATCGCTTCAATAATAAAAGTGTGAAATGATCTTAGCTCTTTTTCAAACAGTTCTCTGCCAAAAACCCCTAATAAAATTGAGAGCACCCGCTTTCCGTGCCCGAGAATCACTAAAATGCTCATTATTTTAATTTCGTTGAAAAAATTTTTCAACATTTCAGTTTTAAAAACCAATTGGATTTATAAAAAAAAAAGAAATTTAGGGAAAATTAAATTTTTATATTTTCCGAAATATTATGCTGGAATGCTTAGAATATAACCTTTTTTATATTCCCGATGTGATGTGTACTAATTTTTTTGTATTTTTTTTTTTTGTATGGAGTATACATATGGTGTTAGGAACAAAAATAGGTATAACTTGACCTTTAGACTTTTTTAATTTCTTTTCCATACCCAATTTTTCTTATTTTTGAATAAAAATATAGTTCACTAAACAGCACAAAATCCAAGAAACACTTTTGTTGATTTCATAGATAACTAGGGAAACGGAAGAAATTTTCGTTGAAATTTTAAATTCGATTCTTAATTCGATTTCTTAGAAATATTTTTAGCATGCAGTTTTTAAATTTTAATATAATAAAGAGCAAATTTCAAGTCGCTAAAAATTATTGTTGGATTTTAAGAATTTTTTTCGCTGAGGCTGTTACGTAACTTGCTTCATAAAAAAAATGTGTGTTCATGCGTTAGAAGAAAGAAAATTCGCAATAAAACTTTTGAAAACTTGAACTTGAATTGAAAAGTGAAAAATATGAAAGCAAGAATATTAATTTTTGAGGTTTTTGCTGTTGCATAAACCAAATTTTTATAAAAGAATAAGAAAAAATAGATATGAAAAATGTAAATAAATAAAATCGTCCATCAGTTGGGGTATACTTATTTTTCACACTCATTGTATATGTATATTGGGGTGGATCGCTCGTCATCGACAGGATTTTTTTTTTATTGTCCGATATGACAAGAAGATGGGTTTGGTACTTAGGTACTTAAGTGATACTAAAGAAAACATCTATAAATAAAAAATAATAAAAACATAATGGAAAATACTTTACCGTACATAGGTATTTAAACTGTATTTAGTACTTAGAGTGCTAAAAAATCTGTCAACCAAGCAAAATTTATAAATTTATTCTAGATTATTCTAGAGGCATTAATAATATTTCGGTGCGCAAAATGGGAATGCATTTTAAAAAGGGGGCGTGACGCTTTTCTAAGATCCAACTAGTACTGTTTTAGACAAAAGCAAGATTATTGAATTTTCTTTTGACTCCTTTCATTGAATATTTTTTATTTATATTCAACAATTCAAATGAAAATTTTATTGGAAAAGCAACAGTAACTTACACAAGGTAGAAGTTATATCTGCTTTTTCGGATATCACTATTTCTACATTCTGGGATTCGAATCAGCGACTCCAGCTTCAAGAGCCAGTGGTCACCCGATTATGATTCCAGCATTGGAATTTGAAAAGAAATTTTATAGGCAAAAACTCTTGGGTAAATCAGTTGTCTATTTTTTTAATTAAACACATTTTTAGTTACCCATTTCCGGCTTGGACTCAAAGTAAAATAGAATCTGCTTTTTAGTTACTCACAAAAGTTTACAAATTAACAACCATACCGCCGATTAATAGACAAACTCACAACACCATTTAAGTAGGTAGTGGCTGCACTTTCTACAACACATTGCTTAATGTGTTGCTAATGTCAGTTTACTAACTGCTCTCCTATGTTAGGAGTAAACTTTTTGATGTGTGTTCTTGAAAACTTACAAGAACGAAATGAAGGACTCGTTTGTTTAACTACACACTCTCACTCACTAATGGCAAAAATCACCACTTTTATAAAACAAATTAAATCTTTTTTGAAAAATTTAAAAAAATCCTTCATAACACTTTGTAAAAGCGCTCATTGTCAGGAGAGACATATGCGAAAATGTACGTATGTACATACGCGACTCATTTACGTGTTTCTTACTCTTATACATACATACATACAAGCGAGCGCATAGTCGTGCAACTTCTGTGTTAAAATAACACAAATTAATTTTAAAGTTTTGTTTTTAATGCTTTAACTTACAATAAAGTTAAAGCAAAGTGCCTGTTGCAGCAACTTTTGATTATCTTTTTGTTTTGTTTTGTTATCTAAGACTTCTTCGCACATCCTCTCACACAACATTGAATGACACACCTAAGCCACTCATAGGTATTTTTGGTTTTGTTGCACTCGTAGTATGATCGTTGGAACTAAACGTCGAAGTTGTACGACTCGTAGTAGAAGCGTAGAAGAATGCACGAAAAGCAGCAGTATCAATACCACAAAGAACAACGTCTAAAGAGCAATTAACGACAATGGCGAAAAGTTTTCACTTGGCTTTCATCTTTGTTTTTTCCTGTCGCATCCTTTTCTACTTCCCCCTATTCATCGCAGAACTTACCCGCAACGCTCTTATCTGTGCCAAAGTAGTAAGTGAAAGTGGAGCAGTCTAAATGGGGTAACTATGAGCATTGGGCGTAAGTTCATGCAATACACACATACATATTATCTACTTGTACACGTGCATATACTTTCCCGCATGCCAGCAACGCTTTAAGTTGCGTATACGCCATGGTGGCTTTGAAATCTTTCAGCGAGAATTACTGCAAATTTCGAGAAACAGTTATTAAAATCCGCCAGCGACGAAGGGTTTGTTTTCTGGCGCTACTGTACTGCACATATGTACATTGCCACGCATATGATTTTTATAGCTCAATGCATCCATAATGTGCTGGTCAGCAGTACGATTGCACGAGTGTTGCATTGTTAATTACTTCCACACTCATTGCATTGCCGAATTGTTGTGCCATTAATAGAAAATTTTGAGAAAAGATTATGGCATAGTTAAAGCACAAATATAATGTGGTCTTTGCAAAAAAAAAATTGATTTAAGTTTACTCTCACGGATAAGTTCGATTTGCAGAAGACAAGAGATACGAAATAAGTGTTTGAATTCAAAATACTTACATACTGCAAACGCTAGAGTCAGTGGAGAACTCCCGGCCTTTCCTTATTGAAAGAGAATTAGTTTTCTTGAGGAGTTAACTGGTGTTTGCTATATCATAAATTACTTAAGACTGTCCCCTTTGTTAGTATTACTCCATTTACATTTACCGTAATGCAGTCAATTCGATAACCTCATACAAAATATTTACTTTAGGTGAGATGTTCTAGGAAAACCCCGTTTTAAACATTCTGTTAACTTGCCTCGAATATTTGAGTCCAATTCCAAAACTTTTAGCGTGGTCTCCAATATTTCGATATTCATGTACAACTCTAGAATAGTCCGCCTGAATGGCTCAAGAAAAATATTTGCCGCTTTCTAAATCTAGTCATAAAACTGTGTTACATACTTAATTTATGAGCGATTTCCCTCTGATGCTAAATAAAATTATAAAAAAGTTTTGTATCAACTCCGAAGATTACTTTTCAGATTTACTTCGTCGAGCCAAAAACAATTTACTAGCTCAACACATCGGGCTGCAGAGGCTTTTAGGTTTCACAGAATGAATGCAAAATTGGCATTTGGGTATTTTGATCTACAGTTAAGCCTTGACTACATACAAACATTTTCGTAATAGTCAAAAAGGGCAGTTGTAAGTCATTCAGCCCCATCTGATAGCACTTTTCACGTTAGCTGTATAATTAATATAATGACTATTGGATCTAGCTATCACTTAGTTAGAAAACATATTTTTTATAAAAATTAATATTACGAAACAACCAACAAACCTGCACAATCCCTAAATCACGGCAGACATACGAGCAGCACTACACGTCTCCTTCAATTTCGTGCAATTTAACATTTGCCATCAAAGTAATTTTACATGTCCGTGACACGTATCCACACTGTCACCACAAGTGGCGCCGCCGCACACAAGGGTCACTCACTAGTGCCTTGAGCACTTTTGAACAACAACAACGACATCCTGCGAGCGCTGAGTGGATCTGTGCATTAGCGTGTGCTCGAAATAACCAACTCAGCACTAACCGGTCGGCTGCATAATAACACACTTTACTTGATTTAACTTAGCGGTAAATGTGCACTAAGGCCAAGTTGATTTTTGACAGATTGCTTGCACATCACGACCATGAAAGCGGGAACTCTTCATCAATTTGAATTTATTTAGTTTTGCACCTATCAGGTAAGCGCTGTTTGTGTTGTTTTAGTTGGAAGCTGCTGTTCTGCACAAGCAAGTCGTGCGAGAAATTTTATAATTTATCAGCATGATTTCGAAACTTTTCAAATATCTACCGCTGTTATCCTTAAAACTTCCTTCCGTTTGCTACAGAATGCTATTTGGTATATACATATGAACTTACCTACGAAGTTTTTTTTGTAGGTGACCTACTTGCACATCCACATTTTTTTCTATTTTATGCGCCATACACGCACGTACACTTTCATGTGTGAGGAAATTGCTAATGAATATTTTCTCTGCTGCCCGTGGGTATGTGTGCATGTATGAATTTTTCGCTTGCTCCTATTAAATATCGAGTTCTCTTGAAAGCTGATCTCAATTATTTCCGAAATGGAGCTTTTTAGTTGAACTCCAAAAGCGCATTTAAGCCCTCATGCCTTATTTAAAATTAATTTTATTTTTTTCAGTAGCGAGTTTTCCCTCAATCTGACTATCTGAAATTAGGTACTTTAATTTCCGTTGGAAATATTTATTTGTAAAAGTGGAATTCTTTTTTTTTGCTTATCTACTTGGCAAGAAGATATCTTGATCGACCACGTATGGGGTGAGGGATGTTTCGCATTACCACGTGATTTCTTTATAGTCTAAGATCCAACAAGGGCACGACCTTCACTCATCTGTCTAATGGATGAAATCAATTTCGTATGAAATTTAACGTGTTCATAAATATTTCGCGAGTGGGTTGGCTGAAATCCTGGCCAGGATATTTTTTATTAAATATTCATAAATTGTAATTTTTTTTTTTTATTTTGTACTCATTTAATTTAATTATTATAACAAGAACTAAAATAGATATCGGCATGAAATTTTGTTCAAGATATGTTTGAATGATTAACAACTTCTGGTCATAAATTAAGATCATGGTCAAGATCGAATAGCGACCTGCCTTATAATAAAAAAAATCTTTAAATTTTTCATCAATTTATGGTATCTTTATGTAAACACTTTCACATGGCGTAAATATAAATATTATAATTCAATTTCAAATCAATTAAATTATATTAAATTCAATAAGATCATACGAGGTTCCCTGGTGATCACAAGGGAGTGCATGGCGATTTTTGTTAAATAATGGCAATGTTTTCAAATTAAAATTTTCTATTATCTCCAATCCCAGTGAACTCGATGAAGAAGTCTGATGAGATCTCCGAAATAGCAGCTATAACTTCTACCATATGTTAATTATTGTTGTTATCCGCAAATTTTTTTCATTCGAAAAAAAAACGCCTCGAAATTTCGGAATATAATTGCGAACTTTTTTATCTGAATTTTTCGAAAAATTATGGGTATACAGGTGCATCGGTGCATCCAAGTTTTAAGCGGTTGAAAATCGCCTTGATTCGCGGTTTTTTCCATATAAAAAAATGTAACTTATAAAAATCATCGTTGATTTTTCAGTGATAGTTCAGTGGCCAAAAGAAGTGCATCTTGCTCGATAACTTCCGAAAGCTTATTAGCTTTCTTCATTTCAACTTTTTGGCAACAATCCTACAAAATTTAGTTGGCCTTCCAACAGAAAATGTCAGCTTACCAAACTTAGAACACACAAATTGTGACAAGTCTATTTGAAATTCGGGCCAATTTTTATTTACAGTAAGAAACCACACTTTTTTCGGAAAGCTTTTGTTCACTTTAGGTACAATTTCTGAATTAGGTTTCGCACATCTAATTTAAATTTATCAAATTTAATTCTATGATTAAACAAAAAAAAACAAAATCTGTTATTACATCAAGTAATTCACTTTAAGGAGTCGACAGACAAAAATTAACAATTTTTCCTCTTGAAATTTCGGGAGTCATGTTAAAAATAAAAAATAAATGTAGGCGTGTTGCAGCAAGGCGCCCTAGTTTTGCACATTGGACCACTGTGCGTTGGCGTACATTACAAAAGGGCTGACTTAAGACCCAGGCTCACAGGAGATTGTCGAATACTTTGTGTGTCAGTTCCCTGCCCTCGCAAGTGTTAGGCTAAAGACACTCGGCAAACCATCCATGCAGAATATTTCAGATTGCAGCCACCTCTCTCTGTATGACGTACTTCTTTGAAGCCGCCCAATGGCCACCGTCCACTTATTTATGGTGAATTTCCGTATCTCAGTAGCCGCTTCACCAATCCTTACCATATTCGTAACGATTTTTCTTTAAGGTCCAGCTAAAAAATAGCTGAAAATCTTTGAAATCGGGCGATAACCACGCCCATTTTCCATATAACGGTAATTTACAGAAATACGAAACCTGACTACTAGTAACTACTGAATTCACTCAACAACACCACTTAGCTTAAAATTAGATTATTAAAAATTTTTGGATAATGGGCGTGGCGCTGCCTACTTATGACAACAAATTTGTGTCTCGGTAAACAATTAATAAATTTCTATCATACTCGGTGCACTTAATAACCTTTTTACGGAACAGCAATTCGTTGAAAATTGTTCAAATCGGACTAAAATAACACTCGCGTCCCGTATAAAGGTAAATTTCAGAAATACGAAAACTCCGATATTTCAATAACTGATATTCAGGCACCGCTAGCCAAATTTGTTTTCATCTTAGTCCCGAAAGGCTGGAGAGTGTAATAGAGAGCGCTGGGGTAATTCCACGTTCTCTCCCTACACGCAGCTTCAGCAAGAGGGATCGCGTAAGTATCTTAACTATTTGCGTGAATACTAATCAATTCGACAGCGAGAGCAGAGGATTCGTAATAGTAAAGAGATCCTTTAACCGCCTCTAGAGAAGTTTAGGCCAAAGGTATCTTGCAATTTCACTGTCCTAGTTTTTACCTAGCGCTCATTTCAGTTTAGGGAGCGCCAGGTGAAAACTTGGAGATGTGCCCCACCGTTCAAGGATGAGCCATAGGAGATCAGAGGTATCACTTTCAAGTTTCAAGTGTGCCTTTACTTACCCAGTCATCAATCCAAATGAGACGTACAAGAAAACACACCACATGGAGTTAAGGGCCCTTGAAGCCTCCTTGCTATCAGATTATACTATATGTATTACTCACCTCACTTACTTACTTACATCACGCTCTACTGCAGTGAGTCCACTGCTTCTTGAATGACAACTATTTCCTGAACTTTGTTTTGATGGAGATTTCCCAGCAAAATATCCCTCCACCAACCCTACCTTCAAATTTCTAACCGTTTGTGAAAGGGTACATAGTGACCTGTAAATTAACAATAGTAGGTCGGTTTCAACCTACATATTTTGAGATTTGGCTATTGCTTCAGGAACGATGATTGGCATGGAAGGCCCCTACTGTGACATCTTTGCGAATATAAGCTTTCTATATCCATTTTCCTCATGTGAGTAGGGCGATATCTACCAACCGTCCTTAGCAAATAGCAAGTTCCCGGGAGACTTTTTATAGGCGTGTAAGGAAATAAGGGAATGATTTGTACAGATTTTATGAACCTTTAAATTTTTTTAAAGTCTTTATTACTTTTACTGGATCTGTGTATGTATGTATGTACATTAGACTGCATCACTCCCAATACAAAAAAAAGAGGTACTGTATTTCCTTTGGAATTATAATATCTATTATATTTTAAGACTTCTTCCAAAATATTTCGGAAAAATATTAAGCTTTACGTGGGCTGGACCGATTTGAAAATACCTCCAAAATTGGAGTTTTTTTATGATAAAAAGAGTTTCTTAAAGATGTTTTTGAAAAAAAAAACCTATCAAATGACAAAACGGCTTAAACTTAAACAATTTGCATAGAAATATTAAAAAAAAAAATGTTAAAAAATTTTTAACGGATTCGTAATAGAGATTTTTGATGCTATTTCTTAATTTATTTCAAAGATTGGTATAAGAAAAACTTAAATAACTGAACCTGAACTATTCCGATTTAGACCAGTGAGGTATCACTGGAAAAATATTTTCAAAGTATGAAAGAGAACGGTAGGATGAACGAGTGTCAGTCCAAATTGAATTAAAATTTGTCGGTATTTGAAAAAAATTGGGACCTGAATGAGTTTTTTTTTGCACAGATATAAAAACAAATGGAAAAATACCTTTTTACTGATACCCCACAAGTCTAGTTCGGAATAGTTTTGGCCCAGTTATTAAAGTTTTCGTAAATCAATCTTTGAAAAATTAAAAAAAAACAGCATCAAATATCTCATAATAACGCGTCCCTTGAAAAGATGTTCAAATATATTTATGCAGATTTTTTAAGCTTAATCTGTTTTGTCATCTGATGGGATTTTTTCCAAAAAGTTCTTTAATAAACTATTTTTATTCATAAAGAACTCCACTTTTTTAGGTATTTTCTAATTGGTCCAGCTCACGTAAATCTTAACATATTGCGAAAAAATTTTGGTGCACGTCTTCAAATGTAATAAAATATTTAGCCCCGGCGGAAGAACCGCAACTTTTTTTAGGTGATGCAGTCTAATGTACATGTATATTTTATAAATGAAAAATCTTACACTCCATGTTCTCATTTACGAGTGGAAACAAAAATTAACATCTTAATTCAAATTTATTATTTTCTTATTTTATATACATATATTTATGTAATCATTATAAGAAAAATCATTTTCAATTCGAATATTAGTAAATTCGCGTGACCGCATTTTTAATCTGTTCGCTTTTTTACTTTTTCCATTTTCATTCCCGCAGCAAGTGACAATTGGCATACACTCGGGCGAAGTGGTGACCGGCGTTATCGGTAATCGCGTGCCACGTTACTGTCTCTTTGGCAATACGGTGAATCTGACAAGTCGCACGGAGACCACAGGAGTGCCAGGCTGCATTAATGTCAGCGAGGAAACTTATCGGTGAGTGACACACAGTGATTTTCTTATTTTTTCATTTAATCTAAAATGTAATCCATGCATTACATACATACTACTTTTAAGCTTACATTCTTACATACATACTTAATAGATAAACCTATTTCAAGCGAAACGAGAATAATACAATTACACACAATGCTGGCTATTTACTTATTTAGTTGTTGAGCTGCAATGAGCAGCAAACTGATGTAGAAAGATAAGTCTTATTCACCCTGTTTGTTGACTTGTTTGTAGATTATTGTGTTGAACACAACTTGCAACTGAAAATTTGTTATAAATACATATTAAGTTAAAAAGTTGTTCGCCATTTCTTTACTCAGTTTTGTTTATGAACAGCTGTTGTTCATAAATTTTTAAACTACATAAGCACATGTGTACACACATGTAGGTGTATGGTATATAGGCAAAGCTAATCTTTCGTTTACATACAAAAGTTTGGTTAGCAAACTGCAAACCAACGAGCTATTCACTACTAAGCTACTAAGCTAGACAAAATGTTGCCAATTTTGTACGTAAGTGTTAGTGTTTCTCTGTTACTGCATACATATGTATGTATAGCGTTACAGCTTATGTAGTTAGTTACATACATATAGTCTATATATTTGGCAGTTTATGTAGTTCACTGCATTTCATACTTACACACATACTTTTTATATTTATTTTGAGAATGTTGGCTAGCTAAGCTGGCGTTCAGTGCATTCGCTGACCTTGACTTCAATATCACAGTTTTCGCTGTTGCTGTTGCCATAGGTATTTGCGTCGGCGTTGGTGTTGTTGGCGCCGCTACTGCACTGCATCGTCACGCCGTCATCGTCGTTGCTGTCGTTGCTGTCACTGCTGCAACTGGCACTATCTGTGGCATTCAGCTGCACCTGCGTTGAACTGATAATGTCTACCACTACGGGCCTCTCCAACCGATTTTCCATCTCTAACTGCTCTTCCACAACTTCCGCTGAATCTTCTTCAAACACTGTTGCCAAATCGCCTACCACTATTATTGATTGCTGTTCGTTTGGCGGTTCGCCGCCATCCACCAATAGACTCTCGTCCACTTCAACGCCCACTTCTATATCCACAGAAGACTGCTCCTCATCCTTGGACTCAGCAAAATGTACACGCTTCTTGGCACCATTGACGCCACCACCAAAGGCTTGTAGCTTTTCTAACGCTGCATTATTTTCGGCATCGTTCTCTTTCTGTGGCCCTTCGAGCTCTTCCATAAGGTCGATATAGCGCTGTAGGCGTCGTGGCAGCCGCAAAGTATCGATGCCGCCGGGTAGTTGGCAATTTTGGCGCAGTAAGTCACGTATGCGGCATCTGCAACATGTTGACAAAAAAATTTAGTTCTTAAGAGAGCTTAGTATTTAGTGATATGGAAGTGAAACATTTGTTAAGCTTTACAAGAAAAGTGAAAGCAATGGGTATTGCAAAGTTCAGTGGAAATAATAAAGTGCAAAATAAAAGGAAAACACTTGGCGCGCGTTTTGTCGCTTTTTGTAATGGACAAAGCGGAAAATATTATACGTACATATGTAGGTATGCATTTAGAAGAATCGCCGCCAAAATCTCGCGCCTTACAGTTTTTCACTAAAACTTTGAAAAAAGTTTACAAAGTTTCTCTCCACCCCATTTGTATTTAAGGCCTTGCATACACGTGCTCAATAAGTACAAAAGTTTTTAGCCTTTAAAGTAATACATGCCTACATACATACATATGTATTTGATTTAGATGGTAAAAATAAGAAAAACTGTATGAAACAGTATGAAGCGCTGTTGACAAATATTTAGAAAGTTTGGCAAAATCCAAATGTAAAAAACAACAGAATAATAGAAACTGACAAAGCATTGTATATTAAATTGTATGTACTCCTAAAGAAGTTGATCACTCGGTAAAGAATAATATTAAAAGTTTTTCTTTTAGTTCGAAAGTTCGTAACGCTGGAAGAAGCTCAATATTCAGTTGCTGAGTTTATTTATAATCCGCAAAAAATACGAGTGAATTGAATTTATGTGTTGTTTAAAGTATTAGTGACACTTCCAAATTCTTTCATGCTTTTTTATTTATGCATTTATATCTTTTTATTGTCCCTGCTTTGAGAACTCTTGTACTTAGTGTAGGGTTTAGACTACTGAAACTCGATTAAAGAACAATGGACTTTAAACATTTGATGGCAAAAATATTTTCGTAGTATATTTTTAGTTTTAGTTCTGCATGAAATAATTATTATTTCTGCAAAGAGCATTTAATTAAAAAAATATATAAATTTTATTTGATTAAACATTATGCGACATTGAAATATCAGACGCATTGTTGATAGAAATTTTTTATTTATTTTTAAAACTGCAACAACAGTACAACAGATGGCATTAGAATACACATTTTTTTCAAACATTTTCGGCCCTTTATCCAGGGAGCAAAAACGTAGAAGTAGAAATTCCCAATTTTCATGATTTCCACTATTTTTCCATAACGTCGAAACGCCTTGACTAATTTCAAAAAGTTAATTAAACATAAATGGTAATTCTTAGAAACAAAATTGTTATACCAGTTTTGTATAAACAATTGCATGTTCTACACTTTAGTGTAACCTATTTTAATGAGTACTCTTACCGTTTGGCTGAACAGTGAAAAAAAAATGCGACCATGAATAACTTTTTCCAAATGTGGAATCAATGGAGACCTTTCACATTTGATTTCTAATAGTGTTCGCAAAATTCTTACCAATTTTCAATTTAGTGCGAATTATTACAACCTTGAATGTTTAACTTGAGTGAGCTTTAAATTATGTATGTAAGTCGATTTAACTGAAACAAATGGGATTTTTTAAGGGAATGCGAGTATTTTTTAATGGGGTTAGCGAGAAAAATTTGCCTTTTTGAAATAATTTTATACACATTCTAAAATTATGTGAAAAATTATAAAAATTGTTTACTCAATTGGCTAAAAGAATAAAGAAAAATTTGGATTCCATATAAGTCGGCACATTAAAAGTGCATATCTATGTATTTAATACGTGAAGGAATTTTTCGTTCAAGTACGTTGAAAATATTCAGACATATACATATATTTCCTAAAAACATTAATATTTATAGATGTACAAGTTATACTTTCCAAAATTTCATAAGAAATATTAAAATTTGGGTGTCAAAGAAAAGTTTGTTTGATTTATTTGAAGAGGGCTGCCTCCGGTTAAAAAAGTTAAATTTAATAAAGTAAGCGAATTGTTAAAATATGAGTATCAATCAAAATGGTATTTACTTCTTAACTTATTTGTAGGGGAGTTTCCACGTGTTTATAAAATCAAATTCAATTAAATTCATCAGTCAATTAAAATAGGTATCATAAATTCAGACAAAAGAGGATAAAAAAAGATTTTAGTTTGAAAATATTTTAAAAAAGGGTTGCCACCTGTTTTAAAAGTCGAAATTATTTAAGATATACACATGCTAAATGAAATACTAAAACAAGTATATGAGTGTCAACCGAAAGAGTTTTAAAATAACTTTAGTCTGAAAATATTTTTGATTAGGGTTGCCAACTATTCGAAAAGCAAAAGCTATCAAACTATGTACATATACTATATATATACATGTATATACATAATACGCGAAAAAATTACTCATATTAAGTGATCTAAAAAAAACAGTAATATGGGACCTTATGAAGATTCAACAAGTCCACTAAGAACTTTTTAATAGTGTCGATGTTGAATCGTAATCAGCAACTTTGAAGCGTTTCAGATAATGAGTTTTAAGAAAATGTAACGACTTAAAAAATATGTGCAATATATTGGACCTGCTATTTTGAATTTTAAGACCTAAGGCTTCAAATAATGCTTTCATAGTTTAGCCAACTTTTTCCACTGATTTGCATTGCACAGAGGGTAATATTAAGTCTGATTTTCTTATAAAGCCCAATTGACCACATTTGGGCTAAATTTTGTTGAGCCGTTAGGATGGCTGTTCCTTTTTAAAATGGCTGAGATGTCACATTTTCGCAGTATTCAAATATGATTGATCACAATATTCGACTTTTAAATATTTCATTCACTAGCATGTTTTCCATGGAAGAGTGGTTTTCCTCTCTTAATAATGACATAAATGCAACAGAAAAGAAATCTAAATAAAGAAGCAATCTCAACTGAAAGCGGACCATACATATACGCTAACCTCAAAGCTTGCGCGGAAATTTTAGATTTTTTAACCGATTTTCGCATTTCAGCCAAATACTTAGTAATCAGTGAATATTAATTAATGTCTAATAACTGCACTTCTTTTAAATTTCATAAAAAAATTTTAACCAATTTACGCTGAAGTCCTTTTCAGTTTTACCAGATTTAATACACACATAGGTACATATGTCCGGGGTATCTTTTCTTTTCGAATTCCTTATAACCAACACTGGTATATGGTAATTTTCGTACGAAAAATATTTATCCTCTTTTCAATGGCAATATTTACTATCACTTCTCATGAAAACTGGCAAAACCAATTTTCGCTTTGGTTTCTTATTCTGACACACAACCACAATTCAAATAAAAATATATAATTGAAATCGATGTTTGGAGTGTAACGGTGTTCTTTTATTTTTTTGTGCGGCAATTTGTCATTTTATACGATCCAATTGCCCCAAATTGCCGTTCGAATTGCCAGTCAAATAGCTTTCGTTTCAAATAAATTTGTTCGCATGCTCGTTATGTTTGTCTGACTGTATGGTCTTCTGCCCGCATTTCTTTTTTTTTTTTGTTTTTTTCTTACGACATTCATAGCCTAACCTGAATATGTCATACGAAATTTATGATAGGACCTTTTGACATAGCACAGAGTGAAAATAATATCTTTCATAAGAAATTCATGGACACTTGGCAGCAAAAATATTTTTGTGATGCTTGACTGCGTAAAATTTGTTAGCTGTATGGAAAAAATGTTGTTGTCAAATTAATTTTAAGCCACCAGAGAGCCAAAAATATTGTTGGTAAGTGCAAGCTATTTGGTTTTAATTAAAATTTCTCATAAAATCACCTCAAACTCCAAAATAACATTTTGAATAAAATTTTTATTAAGAGGGAAAATGAAATTTTGTGACCAGATCGTATCCTTAAATATTTTGCTAAAAAAAATTTTAGCAATTTAATTTGTTATTTCCGACAAAGTAATCGTGCTAGAAATTATTCTACTTGGCTTGTGAAAAGCGACAAGATAAATATCTCGGCAGGCGCCTACTTACCTACATATTGAGTGCCGCTAGCTAAGCTTTAAGAATGAAGGTAAATATATATATATGTATGCATGTATGCAGATAAGTATTTATATCAGAGCAAATATGGTAATAATATCTGTACATGTATGTATATACTAGTGTGTGCAGGTCTGCCAGCATGAATTAAAACCTCTGAGCTTTCGCAAAGTCGGTTGCCCTTATTGAAAGAAAAACCATTTATCATATGCACAGCATCACTAAACGCATAACTGAAATGAAAAATGGCCAATGAGTGCATTAAGCTACACAGCCATATTTCATAAAATCCAGTGCACTACACTAGCAGTTAATATGGATTATGGTTCTCAAAACACCGTATCCGAGAATCAATCATGAAACCACAAAACTTAATATTTGATATTTATTAATTAATTTAATCTAAGTGTAGCCGCGCGTAACGAATAATAAATAAATGTTTGCCAATGTGCATTGAATTTTTCTATACATTAGGGTGCGCCTTATTTTCATCTTTGACCCACAAAGGAAGACTACCCATCGATAGCTTAATTTGATCATTAAAATCTGTTCTGAGAAAAATTAAAATTGCGGATAAAGCTTTTGTCATTTCCGTCTAGCTTTGATGTTTTGATACCATTTCATGTTTATATCATCAGAGTGTTAGCGCCCACTTTAATTATAAATAATATTTGCACAACTGCAAAGTCCTGCAACCCGGAAGTCCTTAGCTTTTGTATTTGTATTTAACCTTTACATGCGGACAAGGAGTCTCACGTATCCTCGAGATGATGTCTACATATTTCAGAACTCTCTCTGAACTACTGCAAAATGACTGCTGAGCGGGATATTTGATACTTGTGTTGTGGTAGTGGCGTGGTCTCAAAGTTTCATACATTTATCATGTAAACGCTATGAAGTAAATGTACAAATTCTCACTTCTCACGCAATGCAAAAGTTGTCCCGCGAGTTCACCTCCTACTCCAACATCATTGCAATGGAAATTTAAATTGTTGCGTGTCGTTTAAAAGTTTAAAAGAAAAATATGAATTTAAAAAACTTAAAGAACAAAATAAATAAACAAGTAATTTCAAAGCAAAAAAGAAATCCGACTTCAAAGAATTATATAAATCGCTTAACGTTGTCCCAAGTTATGCGGTAAAATACATAAATATTTCGACGAATTTATAACCTCCTCCTTTTTTTTAAAGTCGGTTAAAAGTAAATAAAATACGTAAAAAAATTAAATCTGTAAGAGAAGAAAAAATAAAAAAAAGTATCCAAAAATCGAATCCCAAACATTTTTCTCATTAAAAAAAAGAGTATTTCCAAAATGGAACCAATTCAGAACGATCTTAACAGCTGCCTTTTCATGCTAGTACGGCGGGAGTTCTGAACCAGTTTGATTTTCTGCAGGGAACCGTTCTGCATGTGACCAAAACACGCACTAAATAAATTTTCAGAGTTTTTTTTAAACCCTGACTCTGCCCGCATAGTTATTTAATCTACGTGCAGCTGTTACACGGAATAATTATATACACATTGTAAATACACATACAGCTACGCATATAATTTTTGGGCCCCAATTGGTTATGAAGCTCACAGCACTTAGTTTTCATTATTGTGATGACTTATCAACTTTTTGTGCCTTTCAACGCCATTTAACACCGCTTAGCTAATTTGCTTTCTCATACATTTCTACTTCTTTTGTCAAGCATAATCAGCTTATCCACTTTGACAAAAAGGTCATTACGCTTAAGCGGCGCAGTATCCCTTGATAGAGTGAAACATGTATATACTTGCTTTTTGCGCTTAAAGCCGATTATTAATCGATAATGCTCGGGCTAATTAATTAATAGCGACAAAGAAAATGATACGCCATTATTATTAGATGACGTCAATATTTTTTTGGTTATCGTGTAGTTACGTATACTATATGCATGTACATTAGGTTGGTCCAAAAAAAAAGTTAAGTCGGAATTTGAATGCTCTCACAACCTAGAATTGTTTTATAACAAAAAAAATATAGCCCTATTTTGTTTTAAGCTCAAAAAATATTTAGAGGTCGCCCAATCCGCTCAAAGTTTTCGATGTATTTTATATGGCAATAAACAATTTTTAGTAGAAATGGTATGGAATTCCTCAAAATCAATATTTTTCGATCGGAAAACTCTGGTTCTCTTCAGAAAACATCCAATAATAAAACACAATTTTTATTTCAAATTTTGTTTAATAAACCGAGTCTTTATTGGTGCCCGTATTGAATTTTTTAGGAGTTTTGGCGAATCTATAAATTATAGTTACTATACAAAAATGGTTTGGTATTATTATAGGGAATCTCCTACAGAGAAGCAGAGTTTTCCG